ATACTATGCAGCCATCAAAAGAAATGAAATCTTGCCATTTGCGACGACGTGGATGGAACTAGAGGGTATCATGCTTAGCGAAATAAGTCAATCAGAGAAAGACAACTATCATATGATCTCCCTGATATGAGGGAGAGGAGATGCAACATGGGGGGTTAAGGGGGTAGGAGAAGAGTAAATGAAACAAGATGGAATTGGGAGGGAGACAAACCATAAGTGACTCTTTTTTTTTTTTTTTTTTTAAAGATGTTATTTATTTATTTATTTGACAGAGAGAGATCACATGTAGACGGAGAGGCAGGCAGAGAGAGAGAGGGAAGCAGGCTTCCTGCCGAGCAGAGAGCCCGATGTGGGACTCGATCCCAGGACCCCGAGATCACGACCTGAGCCGAAGGCAGCGGCTTAACCCACTGAGCCACCAGGCGCCCCCATAAGTGACTCTTAATCTCACAAAACAAACTGAGGGTTGATTGTGGGGAGGGGGGTTGGGAGGGTGGGGTTATGGACATTGGGGAGGGTATGTGCTATGGTGAGTGCTGTGAAGTGTGTAAACCTGGCAATTCACAGACCTGTACCCCTGGGGATAAAAATATATGTTTATAAAAAATAAAATTTAAAAATAAAATAAAAAGAAGTTAAACTTAAAAAAAAAAGAATGCAACAGGATGTGATGAGCACTGGGTATTAGGCGCAAATGATAAATTGTTGAACAACAGTACATCTGAAACTAAGTATGTACTTTATGTTGGCTAATTGAATTTAAAAAAGAAGAAGAATGCAAACTAGGGGGTGCCTGGGTTTGGCGTCTGCCTCTGGCTCAGGTCCTGAAATTGAGCCCCACATGCTCCGTGTAGGCATCAGGCTCCCTGCTCAGCGGAGAGTCTGCCTTTCTCCCTCCCTTAGCCCCTCCCTCCATTCATGGTTGCATGCTCACACTCTCTCTCTCAAATAAATGGATAAAATCTTAAAACAAACAAACAAACAGGGACTGCAAACTAAACGCTCAGGTAAAGGTCCCCAGAGGGTCGAACTCACCTCCTAGGTCCCTGTGTGTCAAGCACCAAGGTGTTTTGTGTGTGATATCGTTTGACACACTGGTTGCCTTGTGCATTTGCAGTTCACAAATTAAATGGTCCACACCCCCCCCAATCTCTGTATTTCTTGATGACAAGAAATAACAAAATGCAGGCCTCATTTCATTATAGTTTACCATTCCAGCTGATATATTAAGTAATTATTTGTAAATGTATGTGTTGACAGCTTGAAACAAAATTCAGAAGTGACCTCAATGGAGACATCTTGGCAGAGAGAAAAGAGCCCCTCCGGTGCCTAATAAAGTTTTCCAGCCCGCATCTCCTGGAAGCTTTGAAAGCCTTAGCACCAGCTGGTAAGTAGTCAGCTTATCTTACAGAATTAACAACACACTACATTCGATCCTCTGTTTTTGCTGGCTGATTACCTCTGAACTTTCTCCTGGCTCCCATCCACTATCCCCTCTTGCCCTATTTTGTGTGTTCGGCTTCCATACCTCATGGGGGTCCGTGATCCACCCTCGAATCTCGGCCATTGTTAAACTAACTCCTTCTCTTTTCTTTTTTTTTTTTTTAATTTCAGGTATTGCAGATGCACCGCTTTCTCCATTGCTTACTTGCATACCCAATAAGGGAATGAATTATTTTAAAATTAGAGATAAATAAGATATATATGTGGTTTTGAAAGCACAGCATCTCTTTGACTCTTTCCTAGGAATTTCAGTCAACAGCTAGCTGGATAGTTTCTGTTTATGAACTTGTGTTTTAGGAATTAATTCTTGAAATTGACACTTCAGAAACATTCAGTATAATTGTTGGGACTGATTCTTTCCTCCTCCACTATGTACCGTCTCCCCCATATCCTGCAAAGCATAGCACTTGTGGGCCTTTAAAGAGTGACATGTCCTTTTTCTCACTCCTATCTCCCCTCTGTCATGGAGAGATCAGGTTCTAATTGCTTGTTTCCAAGGATTTTGTCTGAAACCTTGGATCCTGGAAAGCAGCAGCAAGGAACCATCCTCAACTCAAAACTTTCTAGGAAGATCATAAAATTGGTCCATTCAAAAGTAGAGTTGGGTCCATGAGGTTATTGCAGGAGGTAGCATATCAGATGATTCAGTAATATAATAGTTTCATTGTAAACATGATATGTTCTATAATCTGTTTTATGATACACTCGGACTCACCATACTATCTGATTTGTGAATAAAGATTGCAAAACTGGTGTATCAGTTACTTTTGACGGAAATTTTTCAGTGATCATCTCTAAATAATGCGTCCTTTTTAAATAACATTTCAAAATATAGATCCTATTTTGTTCCACAAAAGATTTGGGGTATAAAAACATATATTACAATGATGATAAAATGAAAAGGTGAGGCACTCTGGGCAAATAGGAAAGCAAACAAAAAGCAAGGAAGACAGAATAAAGCCAGAGATAAAATAGCCATGGAACAGCGCACAGGTCAGGTGCCTCCAGCTGCTAGAAAGTTGAACAGTTAGACTGAAGTCAGCCAGTGGTCAAAACAGAGAAGAGAACACCAATTTGTGAATGAAGATATTTAAAAACTGGTATATTTGCTACTTTTGATGAAAATCAAAACCAGCTTAATATACAGATATGTAAATACAGTCAGTGAAGCAGGGCTGAACAGTGCTCTATAATGTAATGGTGTTGTCTATAGATTACAGATATGGGAAGAATACATTTTTAGACATAATTAGCAAATGGCATTGACACTTCCATTATCTCAGAGTAGGCACTGGGTCTGCAGGGGCTCAGTAATGCTAATTTCTTTGAAGACATAGACATGGTATCAAGCATCTGTCCCTATGTGCACACATGTGGTAGGCATTTTTGCTTGGTGCCCGAAGCCCTCTATTAGGTCTGCACAAAGGTTCCTAGATGGATTCTCACAGGCTCACAGCCCTCCTTGGTGCTTGGCAGTGATATGCAGTTAGAACCTGAACAAGGAAGACACTAGTCATAATATCCAGCCATAGTAGAATCATTTGAGGCTGTACCCTACGGCCCTCTCAGACAGAGGTACCTACTTAAGGAAATGAGAATACATGGAACTCTTTATCTGTTATGTACCTGATGTTCAGTCGGCCCTCAGTTCTTCTTTAGGAGGAATAATTCTTTAAATAGATACAATTTGGTGTATTCCATGGAGGAGGTGAGTTCAGCTTCTTCCTAGACCGCTCTCTTGCACAGGAACTTCTGTTATGTACTTGATGATCCAGGGACACATACTGCATTCAGATGCAGCCTTGGGGACAGATGGATCAGTAAGTGTAGACTCAAAGACCTCTACTGCCAAAGGACTTTATGGCACATTAGGTAGGGTCTCCAAAAATGAATAGCTAACATTTTTGGAGTATTTGCTATGTCGGTCCTAAGTATTTTATGTGCATTATCTTATTTTCACCACAATCCTATAAGGCAGGCAGCATTACTAGTCTTATTCCACTCTAGTGAATGCCAAAGCCAATGCTAGTTAAGTGGCTGAGCTCACATTAACCCCAGGCATTCAGATTCGAGAGCCTGCACTCTGAGACACCATGCCAAAAGAAACAAGAGCCTGTAGGTGCTATCCCACACACACATAGCTGTAGAGTTTGTTTGTTTGTCCCCCAGTACTTTTAAAAGCAGAAGTAATTTCTGTGATAGGCAGAATAATGCCCCCTACTCAAAGATGTCCACATCCTAATCCCTGAAATCTGTAAAAATACATTACCTTACAAGGCGAAGGGACTTGCAAAGGGGAGATTATTCTGGACTTCCTGAATGGAGTCACTGTAATCACAAGGATCGTCAAAAGTGGAACAGGGTGGGAAAATGTGGAACAGGAACAGGAGAGATCTGAGGGAGAACAAGTCCGTGATACGATGAATACTCAACTGACCATTACTGACTCTGAGAAACTGGAAAAGGCAAGTAAGCAGATTGTTCTGTAGAGCCTCCAGGAGAAATGCAGCCCTGCCCACACTTTGATCTTAGGGTAGTACTTGTGTCAGAACTCTGCCACAATCTGTGTTGATTTAAGCCACTAAGGTGGTGGAAACTTGTAACTGCAGCAATAGAAAACTAGTACAGCTTCTGATACATATAAGTTAGCAGTTTTCACATAAAAACCTTGAAAAATAAATCTAGCAACACCAAAGATGAGTAGCATCCTTTAAACAAAGGATGAATTTTTCATTTCACTAGTCCTCACTTCTCTCCTTTGTCTACACCTGGCCTCCTATGCTCATTTCCTTGGTCTAGCTAGTCCGTCCAAGTACTTAGGTTTTGGAACCCTGCCCTGAGTCATACTGTCTCCTTAGTAGTAACTGGACTTCAGCAGTGAAGAGGCAAAAACAAAAAAGATACAGGCAAGTAAATCCAGTCTCCCTTAAAATGATTAACTCAACCATAGCAACTTATTTGTTTGTACAATGCGACCTGGGGCTAGTTTCTTCTCTGCAAAATGGGGTGAAACTTACAGTACATACCCGCGACACCTGTTTTGAGGACAAAGTGAGATACAAAGTGAAAAGTGCCTTCCCCGAAGTCTAGCACATGGTAAACCCTCAATGAACAATAGATGTAATTAACCTACTATTGCCTCTCCTGCCATTGAATATTTGGGTTGTTTCTAATATTTGGGGAAATAAAGTTCCTGAGCGCATTGCTTTTTCTTCTATACAATTAATGCCCAAAGTTAAGTTTTCTGGGAAGATGAAAATGAATCAGTGGGACCAATACCTTCCACCTGTTCCCAAGAACCCCTGTGAAAGTTTTGTAACCCTCTTGCCTCACCGGGCAGCGGCTTCCCGCAGACACTCCCTCCATGGCCGGCAGGGGGCGCCGTGGCCGTCCCGGCCCCGCCGGATGCTAATGAGGCCGGCGGCCCCGCCCCCTGCCGGAAGTGGCTGCGGCGGGAGGCGGGGCCTGTTCGTTTGGTTCTCTGCTGTGCGGGAGCCATGGCGGCGTCTGAGGCGGCGGCGGCGGGGTCCGCGGCTCTGGCCTCGGGTGTCCCGACCGCCCCGACGGCCGCGAGGGGAGCCGCCGCCGCCGCCTCGGGCCCGTGGGGGCCCCCCGGACGGCTGAGGGGCAGCCGGCCGCGGCCCGCGGCAGCGAGACAGCAGCCCGCGGGTCCCGCGCCTCCGGCCCGGGAGCTGATCCAGCCGTCGGTGAGCGAACTGTCCCGGGCCGTGCGGACCAACATCCTGTGCACCGTGCGCGGCTGCGGCAAGATCCTGCCCAACAGCCCGGCGCTCAACATGCACCTGGTCAAGAGCCACCGCCTGCAGGTGAGCCCGCCGCGGAACGGCGCCTCCCCGGGCCTGGCGCTCCGGGGCGCGGGCTCGGGCGTGCGGGGCGTGCGGGATCCCGGCTCGCGCCCGGGATTGCGCCGTGTGTGTGTGTGTGTGTGTGTGTGTGTGTGTGCGCGCGCGCGCAGCCTCGCCGGCTGGCGTCCAACCACAAAACGGCCAGACCGGCCAGGGAGTCCCTGCGGGGCAGAGTGGGGGCCAGCACGCAGGGACACCCAGTAGAAAACACTGTGTCATGCCCCTCCGCTGTCGGGCTCGGACGAGCCGGGACTGCTGGCCTCTGGCTTCGCGGCCGGGCATTCGACGCAGGGACCTCGGTAGTTCCTAGTAACTTGCGGAGGCCGGTCTCATCCTCATCCTGCTGTTGAGAAGCGGATTGCGCAGCGGGACTGGAGCAGCAATGTAAACCCGGCGTCCGCTTGTCCAGCCCGAGAGCTTTCCACCACACCCACAGTACCTGCGTGAGGCCTTCAGGTTCTGCCCGGCTTTTAAAAGGGCGCTGCAGCTTTGCCTCGTTTTCCCAGTGTTGGTAGAATCGGGTGTGCTCAGGAGGGAGACGTAAGGGAAATTTCCCGCAGGACTTCTCTCAAAAAGGGAACCCGTACGTTAACATGACAGTCGTGGGACCAGCCCTTCCTCGGCCCGTGAAGTGGGGCAGTGATTTTTACCCCTCAGTGCGCGTCTGTGGAGAGCTCAGCTCCCCGAAAATCCAGAGGTCCGGCCCCACCCTACACCTGTTAAATCACAGTTTTCCCCGTCGTTACAACGGGAAGTTTCCTGCCCCCACTCCTTACTCGCCTCTCTCCGTGTGGACAGTGACGGAATTCCGAAGCGTGACACTCACAGCAGTTTTGTGAATGTAGCTTTGGATGGTCTGAACGCATCCAGGAGTAAGTTCGAATTACCCAGCGTGTCGCAGGTTCTGTCTGCCCTTCACGGAGATCCTCCTTGGAGACCTCCTTAGAATCGGGCTGCCGGTGAGAATTTATCAGAGGTTATAGTTTCTAGTAGCCCAGACATGGTGCCCATAAGAGTCCGACCCGTCTGGCACCAGCTGAACAGATGCAGCACGGGTCCCCCGTGAAGATGAGGGAGCCGGGTCAGGAGGTGTGCTTGGGGGGGGGGGGGGGGCCCCCCCTGCAGGGGGGGGGGCGGTTTTCCTCAGAACAGAGGCCGTTTCTTCCAGGACTCGAGTGCAGTACCTCTTCAGTGGTCTTTGAGAATGGTCTTCGACCTTGTGTTTTGTCTATCATACTAAATTTCAACGAAATTCTTCCTTTTTATTTTAACTTGGGTGGGTGAACTATACGTTTGCAGAAATTCTACGTGCCTTGATTCTCTGGGACGATAGACAACGGCCGTCGCCCACCTCTCCTACTGGGTCCTCACTGAGGACCAGCCAGTTCACTTGACATCTCTGAGCCCAAGAGAAGCTGCCCGTCTGGCCAGGACTGTCTTGGCCCAGAGATTCACTCTAACAGTTTTATTGTCCTTTTGTCTGGAATTCCTGTCTGGAGCTCTTTCACTCTCAAGACTTTGCGAAGCATCTGTTAAGCACAAAGATACCATGTACTCTTCAGGACTAGCGTGATAGCATAGAATAGGTCTATTTCTAATTATGTTTTTAAAAGACGTTAAGTTTAGGAATATCTAGAGATACCCGTACATTTACAAAATGCACAAACAAGTACAATATACAATGCACATGCAAAGTATAATGAGATTAAGAAGGAAGCGTATGTTTGAGGCAGATAAAAATTTTGATAGTCAAATCTTTATCCGGACTTCTCAGAGCAGCAGTATCCTCCCTTGCTTAGAACCTGTGTGAAGTCATTCTCCCACTTCTAAGCCAGTTTTCAGATGTCTCTTGTCTAAACCCAGGACAGTGCCCTCAAGATCCTTTTCTGAACTAAAAATGTTGAAGGGAAAAGTAACTCTCCTGATTTTCCTTCCTAGGTCATTAGAGAGACCTGTTTCAGGAGGAATTAAAGGAATGTCACCCAGAACCATCATTGTTTTTGTTTTTGTTTTTTACTTTTTTCTTGTCGGAGAGGCTCACTTTCCTGCCTCGTTCTGCCTTTCTAACCACAGCCCTCAGCCAACCATGAGCATCTGCTATATGGGAGGAAAGGGCTTCATTTTCTTTCATGAGCATGACCTATGTGACACAGCAGCCTTTGTGTACCTTTACGGAGGTGCCCCAGTGGGCTGAATCTCTACTCTCTGTCTGCATCCTGAGGAGAAGGCTCTTGAGTTCAAACATTACTCTTGACACTTGTTGTTTTCAAAGTATTGGGAGGAGGGAGGGAGGAGGAGGAGGCCTGGGGAGAAGAACTGCCTGGGAGCTCCCAGCGGTTTTGAAAGCTTTTTGGAGCTACTTGGTACCAATCAAGTGCCTGCCTACTTACTGCTCTGAAGGCAGTCTGAGTTTAGCTGCTTGGCAGATTTGCATAATATTCAGTGGGAATTTTTCCTGCTGGTTCTCTTGGTTACAGGCACTTGCCAAATTCTAGTTTCTTTCCTAGTTTTTATTTTTTCTAGGTTATGATACTCTTTTATCCCCTTCCCCATTAGTTGCTGTATGGTCCTTATTTTATTCTAGACTTTCTTCACAGGGTACCCTGCCCCCAAACAAATATTCCCTTCTTAATGTAAATAATTAACCAACCCTTCTGAAGGTTAGTGGTTAAGAATAGGGACTGAATTATAAGGTGTCAGGACAGCTGTGTTTTGGTGTTATGCGGGTTCTTAAGATACATGTCTCTGTTTCATCTTCTGTTAGGAAATCTGCCTTGCCTACAGGGGGATTCCTGAGGAAATGAAAGCTGAGGATTAAGGAAAAGGAAGAGTGGGAGTAAATGGACATTTCTCAGAGATTCTTTTATTTCTTGTTTGAAAGCAGTGAAGGGGACAGGAGGGCCCTTAAAGAACCTCTTACCCAGCAGCATTTTTATTTTTGAAACCTGGCTTAAAGGATTTTGTATTATGTTTGGTCCAGGGTTCGCTTTTAATGATTTGCAAGGAAATTTGTTTTAAGGAAAAAAAAAACAAAGGAAAAGAAAGGTTCCAGGTCATTCTGTAGGCCATATTATACAAAGACCTGCAATTTTAAATTTACAGTAAGAAGACAACAGAGCGAACTGATTTTCTTCTTGGATGCTTTCTGTGAAGGCAGTCAGGTGCTGGTGTAGTTATAGTACCTTTTTTTTCCCCCACCAGTTTTTGCCACTGTTCTTAAAATCTTTTCCTTTTACCCTTTCTCCTTAAAAGTGCGTCCTTACTCCTGGTTTTCTCTTCTTCCGTGTGTTTACTTTTTTCCATCTTGTTTTTTTATTTCCTCTCACAGATTTTTTTCCCCAAATTCTTTTAGTTAAAATGTTTCATAAACATTTTTGAAATGCTTGTTTTTTTACTTTAAAATGTTTTGTGTAACAGGTACCCAAAAAAGGAATGCAAAACATGAAGTATTTTTTGTGTTCTCCTTTTAGTCATGCATACAAAAGATGAAGTTCAAGAAGTCTGGTGAATTTTGTTTTTGAACATAGAGGATGCCAGAAGAAAACATGACTCTCTCACGGCGGTTCATGTAGTGTTGTGCCACCCCCATTTCTTATCTCCCCCATCCTCATCTCAGCCATCCTTTTTTTTTTTTTTTTTTTTTTTAAGTTTTTTTTTTTTTTTTTGACAGACAGAGATCACAGGTAGGCAGAGAGGCAGGCAGAGAGAGAGGAGGAAGCAGGCTCCCCGCCAAGCAGAGAGCCCAATGCGGGGCTTGATCCCAGGACTCCGGGATCATAACTGGAGCTGAAGGCAGAGGCTTCCCACTGAGCCACCCAGGCGCCCCCTCCAGCCATCCTGTCTTTTGAGTTTATTGTCTCAGGACAGGAAGGCCCTGGAACTGGGAAGGGGAGATGGTGATAGGGAGGGTGAGGAGTTGGCCCTCAGAAAGCAGGAAAGTGAACGCTCTCAGATTGTTGCCATGCCTGTAATAAAGGCCACCAGGGGATGGTTGGTGTCCATTACAGCTGTCTTTAGTGTTTCATCCTAGTGCATGATACAGTTTTGGCTTTGATGGCCACATGAACATGTTCAGTATAATGCTCCCAGTTTTTATTGAACATTTACTCTGTCCAGACATTCCCAAATGCAACAGATGATACAAATACTTTCTTCCCCTTGAAAAGGTTTGGGGGATTTCAAGTAGTTCCATTAGAGAAAACAGGTAAGTAACAGAAGAGAAAGGAATTCAAAGTATTTATAGTAAGGGACTTGAATGTCTCAAGCTAGAGAAATTTGGACCCGGCAAGATATGGGGTGCCACTAAAAATGTTCGAGTGAGGTAATGGCATGATCAGAGCTATACTTTAGAAAAATGAATCTGGCAAAGTGAATGAAAAAAAGATTGAAGTTCTAGAAATGAGTCAAGAGGTTAATGATTAAAGTCTAAACAGAGTCATCATGACTTGAACTAATGATGTAACAGTGAGAACAGAAAGGTGAGGGAGATGGTGGAAGACACGTAAAGAGAAGGGACTAATTGCCAAAACTTGGAATCTAGCAAGATGTTCACCAGTAGGTGAATGGATAGATGAACTGTGTACCTCCAGAGAATGGCATATTACTCAGCACTAAAAAGAAATGAGCTATCAAGCTATAAAACGACATGGCAGAAATTCAGGTCAGGAGTATACTCGATGAAAGAAGCTAATCTGAAGAGGGTACCTACTGCATCATTCCAACTATATGACTTTCTGGAGAAGGCAAAAAAGATTAGTCCTTGCCATGTCGGTTTAAGGGAATATTAGGAATAGGTGTAAGCACAGAGGATTTTTAGGGCAGTGAAAATACTGTGTGATAGTGTAACAGTGGATATTTGTCATTACACACTTGTCAAAAGCCATAGAATATACAACAGCAACAATGAACTCTAATATAAACTGTGGATTTTTGGTGATACTGATATGCCAATGTAGGTTCATTGATTGGAACAAATGTACCACTCTGGTAGGGGATAATTGTTAATAGTGGAACAAGCTATTCACGTTTGGGGAGGGAAAGATATAGGAGAACTCTGTGTGCTTTCTGCTCAATTTTGCTGTGAACCTAAAACATCTCTGAAACATTAACTTTTTTAAAAAAATAAAGTGAACATGTCTTTGAGAACATGATTAGGAGTTTAAAAAGGGATAATAAAAAGGGTATGTTAGGGCACCTGGGTGGCTCAGTCTAAGTGTCTGCTTTGGCTCAGGTCATGATTCCAGGGTCCTAGGATCGAGTCCCACATCTGGCTCCCTGCTCTGCAGGGAGCCTGCTTCTCCCTCTGTCTCTCTCTCTCTCTGTCTCTCATGAATAAATAAATAAAACACTTAAAAATAAAAATTAAAAGTTTTTAAAAAGGCATGCAAAGCAGAGTTGAGAGTGTATTAGAAGTGAGCATGAATTTTGTAGTGACCTTGTAGGCAATTTTGTGGAACATCTGAACAGCCTGGAACATAGACAGGAGCCATTTCCCTGGCATATCACTAAGAGGAATTTGATAATTGTCAGGTGAATTAAGAATTTCTCAGTCTTTCTTAATATTCTCCCCATGTGTCGTTTTTTTCTTGCTAATAACACTAGATGGAAAAATACCAAGTTAACTGAAAGTATTTCATTAAAAAGAAAACAAAACACTAGGTGAACTGATGAGTAGGATGAGTTTGGTGATAAGAGACCATGTCAGTTGTCATTAAAGCTAGTAGCTGCCAGTGTTTTAACAGAAGAGCATTTATGTCTGACTTTCACAAGGACAGTAATTTAATGTAAAGTACTGGTTTAGATTAGATCTTTGGCATTAAGTTGGTTGGCAGAAAGCAAAAGAAGAAACAAAACTCTCTACAGCAAATAGCAGTAATAACTAATTGAGTGATTACATGATAAGCACTGTGTTATTGACTAAATCCCCACAACAGCCATGAAGGAGATCCTGTTTTACCTTCTTCACAGGTAAGGAAACCAAGGCAGTTCATTTTCTCAAGGTCACAAGAAAGTGTAAGGTAGAGAATTCCAACTATGGCAGTCCACATTCCAGAACCCAGGGGTTTAACCACTATGCAAGAGGTTCCAAAGCTAGACTGTATTTTCGGATTATGTGGGGAGACTTAAAAACCAAGTATGGATCCCTAATCCCCCCACTCCAAACTAAAGTGTCTCCTGTGATTTTTCACAGGCTCCAGGGTTGAAAACCACCACCCTAGGCTAGACTGTCTCTCAAAAAATGCTCTGCCACTTAGCAGGCACATGCTCTCTTCTTTAAGCATTAAGACAATACCAAGAGGTGTACAGAATAGTTTCTGCCCTTAAGAAAGTTAGCTGTAGAGAAAGAATTCTGGGGAAAAAAATAGTAATATTTAAAATAGCTTAAGTTTCATTATCTCAGAATTCAAACAGGAAACAGATCTCTACATCTGGGTTGTGGTAAGCAGAACAAGGGAGTATTGTTTATTGAGACTATGATCTGGGTGTGGCTTTATGCTAATCCAATACAAGATCATCCTGAGAGTTAACTACTGTATCTATCTCAGAAATGAGTAAACTGACTCAGAGAGGTTAAGGCAATAGCCCTAATTGGTGGTAGAAGTGGTTTGTAGGTCTTTCAATGCCAGGTGCTTTTTCTGCCATTGCAGTCTGCCTGAAGAGAGCCAGGAGAATGTAGGGCAAATTGGGCCTTCATAGACCATGCAATTGAAAGTGGGAAGAATGTGAGGCTGAGTAGGGTGGTGTATGAAAAGGGAACAGAAAAAGATATGGCTATAATGGGAGATTTGAGGCATAACACACTGTTAGGTGATACATACAAATAAGTTTTCAGAATGTCACATTTGTTATAACATTAGAAGAGGAAGGAAAATTATGTAAGAGACCATTTAAATAACCCAAATGAATATGAATATCTGGGCAGTATGGCGCAGTAGGATTGTAAAAGAATGGACCAGTGGACCAGTGTGGAAGACATGGAGGACTAATTGAATTCGATATGGAAAGATAAATTATGTTGTTTAAAAATAAAACAAGAACAGCTTCTTTTCCCTCTAAATGAGTGGACACAGACTCAACAAGATCAACATGTTCCTCTTGAGATCCACTGGGAAGGCAAAGGGAAGGAGTCTTAGCCACGTGATTATTCATTTCTCACTTCTCCAGAAGCACCACTGGTAGAGAGGGAAGTGGACATGTTCTAACAGTATTGAATCCTCACTCATTAGAACACTAGATGACCAGGATACCTACCTGAGCGCTGCAGCAGCAGCTGAGGCCTGAGTCAAAGGGAAGTTCTACCCCTTCCACTTGGACCTCAGTCTGTATTTTCTAACTGATTATGTTCTTTTTTTCCAGCTCATCTCTTAACTCAGGCAAAAGATCCAGGGGAGGGGCATTCCATGATAGGGACCCAAAACTATTCCCTTAAGCAACAGGGATTCCCTTTACACCAGCAAGAACCCCACATGGTTGACCCCAAGATAGCGACTGACCTGACCTTTCCTGCCTGCCTGCCCGTATCCACTGACCTTTGTCCTACATTTTCCTTACATAAACCTGAAAGTATTTTCAGCACTTTGGAGACAGTCTTAGAGAGTTAGTCCACTGTCTTCCTGGTACTGGATTCACTGAAATAAATCCCTTTTCCTGTGTCACCACCACTTGTCTCACTGCCTTTGTGTCAGTGGTGAGTGGCCAAAGTTGGTCTCTTTTGGGACCCCCGGAACCAGGCGTTCTTCTACCCTTGAGCCCTGGTTACATGAGTACATCTCCAGTGACCTGTCAAGAGGTCCTTCCCCACCCCACCCCACCCACTTTAGGGCCAGACAGGAATTACGCTGGAGGTCATAGGTGTGTCACACCTGTAGTATGTGAGCTCATCAGGGGTGCCGGGACAGAGCACTCCAAGCTAAATGAAGTCATGAGGTATTTTAAACTCCAGCCAAAAAGACAATCACATACTTAATAACAAAGGATGATTAGGATTATATGAGTTAATATATATGTGTCTGACACAGTAATAAAAGCTGTATGTAAGTACTGGTTGCTATAATGATTATTAAGTTTCGAACGTAGCATGGTGACTATATTCAAGTTGCTATGTAAAAAGTTATGTCGACTCCCTTCACCTACTTCAGGGGTTTAAGGATCAGAGGAAGTCAGGGTGCCAGGAGGAAGGCCTGAAGAACAGAGTCAAAGGAGGGGTTTTTTAGGGGCTCCCAATAATTGAGGGTGGGGTAAAAGGAAAGGGAAGAATTAGGGTGGTACCAAAATGTTGAGCCTGAGAAATGGAATATACAAACAAAGAAAGCTGGCTTTAAGGACAGAAAATTTAAGTTTAGAAGGAGGAGTTTTAAAGGAATGGATAGAAGATTTTTAAACAACATGGTTTTTTGGTTTTGAAAAAAAAATTTTTTTTAAGATTTTATTTATTTATTTGAGGGAGAGTGAGAATGAGAGAGAGAGAGAGAGAGAGAGCAAGCATGAGAAGGGGGTTGGTCAGAGGGAGAAGCAGACTCCCTGCTGAGCAGGGAGCCCGATGCAGGATTCTATCCAGGGGCTCCAGGATCATGACCTGAGCCGAAGGGAGTCGATTAACCAACTGAGCCACCCAGGTGCCCCTGTTTTGAAAAATTTTTATAGATTTATTGAGCTACGTTTTGATTCACCATAACATTTACTCATTTGAAGTGAAAAATTTAATTATTCAGTAGATCCACATAGTTGTGCCACCAGCAAGACAATCTAATTTTAGAACATTTTTATCTCCCCTAAAAGATCTCTTATGCCTATCATTAGTCATTCCTTGTTTCTGGTCCCAGCCAGTTCCACTGTTTTGGTTTTTTTTTTTTTTTTAATAATTATGTAAAGTAATTTTTTCTTTTGCAGGATGGCATAGTAAATCCAACAGTAAGAAAGGATTTGAAAACTGTACCGAAATTCTACTGTTGTCCCATTGAAGGATGTCCTAGAGGCCCTGACAGACCATTTTCTCAATTTTCTCTCGTAAAACAGGTATTTTATTTGTCTTAAGTATACTTCTCTGGAGGTGAAATGCAGGTGATATAAACCTAATGTGCATTCTAATCACTTACCAAACCATGACTGGAGATTTCTCAAATTCTGCCTGTGAGGATAGCCCTACCCGCGAGTCTCCGTGTTGGGGAAAACGGGAGTGGGGTTTAACAAGAGTGAAGGAGACGTGGCTTGTTCTGGAGAAGATGTCCAGAAGTGGGTTTGGAGAGAAGGACGAGAAGACCGGTTCTGCAACAAATGAGAAATGTGTGCTCCACATCTCTTGTGTGACTGTGTGCCTCCAAGGCCCAAGGAGCAAAGGCCCAGAGGAAGAATTGTCTTAAGGAAGGACGAAGCCGCAGAAGTCAGGAAGAGTTCCAGAAGCAGCTGCCTTCGGAGGAGGGAGGGGCCCAGTGAGTGGGGAAAGAGGTCACATAGGACTGGCAGGGACTGGCAGCTGAACTGCTCTCCCGAGGGCTGGCTCAGGGGTCCTGGGAAAAGCGTGGCGCACTTTCTCCTGCCTGCAGCACTCGTTCGTAAACCCAAGCGGGTGCCATGAATTGCCACCAAAACAGGGTTCTCACTTTTCACAAAGCAGTGACAGGGAGAAGGGGCATGTGGTAAACTGCAGTTTGCCTGCTTTTCCATTCTTTTGATGTAGACCGCTCTCGCTTGTCCTGCAGACTCATTGTTAGTGCACGTACAGGAATGGTTTTTTCAAATGTTTTGAGCAGTGTGGTTTTCCACTTTGGTCCTCTGTGTTCTGCCTAGCACTTCATGAAGATGCACGCCGAAAAGAAGCATAAGTGCAGTAAGTGCAGCAATTCTTACGGCACGGAGTGGGACTTGAAAAGGCACGCCGAGGACTGCGGCAAGACCTTCCAGTGCACGTGCGGCTGTCCCTATGCCAGCAGAACTGCGTTACAGTCTCACGTCTACCGCACTGGCCATGAGATCCCGGCAGAGCACAGGTAAAGGGGAAGAAACGGTGGCCCAGGAGTCAGTCACTATGGGAAGAATTTCAGACGAAACTTCTGGAAAGCCGTTAGTGCAGAGAGAAAGGAGGAATAACAGCGAAAAACAAGATGTGAAAGGGGGGAACTTTCGGAAAGGCGAACGGTACTGGCAAAGGATCCACGTCTGTCCAACCCAGTTCTTCCTTATTTCTTTCCAATGAAAAGCCCAACTCGAAGCATTTTTCATCAGAGGGATGTTATTAAATTGCTAAAGAGTTAAGTTTTATCATGAAACTGTACCTCATCTTAAAGGTCAAATTTATATTTGGAGTAATAGCTTCCTACTTTAGGAACAGTAAAAGTTGCATTATATAATCTGTTAGCTCCCTCGTGCTTATAGAGCTAAGCTGAGTACTAGAGTACTTAGAGGTATGCCCCGAAAAAGATGGGCTTCTTCCTTCCCTACCTGCATGCTCCTCCACTTCTGCCCACCATATAGTAGTCCCAGTTCTCAGAGAGGCACAGAAGGATGGATCTCTCCTCCCCTGGTGGATTCTGATCTCTGCTCTAGGTGTGGGGAACAGCATTTGTAAATAATTGAAGAGACGGCACCAGGGTTGAAGAAGGCTGCAGCCTAAACTCTTGTTTTTCTCTTGTTAACTCTGTCCTTGGTTTCAGGGATCCACCTAGTAAGAAGAGGAAAATGGAGAGCTGCTTGCACAGCCAGAAGTTGTCCAGTAAGACCACTGAGGCCTTGAGCACCCAACCAGCTGCAAGACCAGACACTCAAGAACTGGAAACTTCAGATATAAAGCTGGTCACTTCTTTTGAAGACTCTTGCAACTCTAATGCCGGAAAGCAGACTCTTACAACACCTCCAAGATACCCTCAGAAGTTGCTTTTACCCAAGCCCAAAGTGGCTCTGGTGAAACTTCCTGTTATGCAGTTTTCTCCCATGCCTATCTTCGTGCCTACAGCTGACTCCTTGGCCCAGCCTGTGGTGTTGGGTGTCGACCACCAGGGTTCTGCCCCTGGCGCTGTACACATACTGCCCTTGTCAATTGGAACCCTCATCCTCGGCCTCGATTCGGAGGCTGGCTGTCTGAAGGAAAGTCTCCCTCTTCCAAAAATTGTAAGTCCTGTTGCCATGGAGCCAATTAGTACAGGCGTTCAAGTGAACTTGGGTAAGAGCCTGTCTAATCCTTTACAAGAACTAGGGAACACATGTCAGAAGAACAGTATTTCTTCAATCAACGTACAGACAGACCTGTCTTACGCCACACAGCACTTCATACCTTCCACACCGTGGGCTGGGCCTGATTCCTCTGTATCTTCTTGTTCTCAAACAGATTTGACGTTTGGTTCTCAAGTCTCCCTTCCCATTAGTGTTCATACGCAAACGTTTTTGCCCAGTTCCAAGGTGACCTCGTCCATTGCTGCTCAGACTGATGCATTTATGGATGCCTGTTACCAGTCAGGTGGGATCTCCAGAGAAACCCAGACGAGTGGGATGCAAAGTCTGACAGATGACCGAGTACCAATGGACCAAGCTGTTATGGGTGGGGACATTTTTGAGAGCGTCCATTCATCCTACGCTGTTTCTACAGACAGTATTATAAGCAGCAGCTTAGTAGCAGAGACCATCGCTCATGATTTGTTACCTCAGACCCACCCTAAGACTTTAAATCAAGATCTTGAGAAATCAGCACCAATTATAACCTTCAGTGCACAGCACAGCATGCTTCCTTCACAGAACATGACAGATAATCAGACCCAAACTATAGATTTATTAAGCGATTTAGAAAACATCTTGTCAAGTAATCTCCCCAGTCAGACACTGGACAATCGTGGTCTTTTGTCTGACACAAGTGCTGGACCTGACCCCCAGCTCCCATCTGGCCCGACCCAGAATCCCGCAATTGATTTTGATATTGAAGAGTTCTTGTCTGCCTCAAATATCCAGACTCAAACTGAAGAGAGTGAGCTTAACACCATGACCACCGAGCCTGTCTTGGAATCGCTGGACATAGAGACCCAGACGGACTTCTTCCTTGCAGACACATCTGCTCAGTCCTATAGTTGTAGGGGAAATTCTAACTTCTTGGGCCTTGAAATGTTTGACACGCAGACACAGACAGACTTAAACTTCTTTTTAGACAGTAGCCCCCACCTGCCTCTGGGAAGTATTCTGAAACACTCCAGCTTTTCCATGAGTACTGATTCATCTGACACAGAGACCCAGACTGAAGGAATCTCCGCTGCTAAAAACGTACCTGCTGTAGAGAGCAAAGTTCAATTGAACAGTACGGAGACACAGACCATGAATTCTGGCTTCGAAACCCTGGGGAGCTTGTTCTTCACCAGCAACGAAACTCAAACAGCAATGGATGACTTTCTTCTGGCCGATTTGGCCTGGAACACAATGGAATCTCAGTTCAGCTCTGTAGAAACCCAGACATGTGCAGAACTACACAGGGTGTCCGACTTCTAAAAGTGAAGTCCGAGCGTGCGACAGCATTGACGATTTCCTTCTGCATTTGGAAAATGGAGAGCGGGACAACAGTGTTAACGCTATTGAATGTAGTTACCGATGCATTTACTTGAGTTCTTGGAGGGTCTTTGCCTTTTGTACTTGTAAACATGAAATTTGTGTATAAATGTGAGTGTATGATAAAGTGCAAGATGTTGGTCTAAATAATACTGTTTCTGTGTTGCCTACATTCGCCCTGTCATGGTTAGTCTTCCCATCTTCAAAACACAAGTGTATTTCCTGCCTTTCAAACCCATCTAGCGTTAGCTGAAGCCAAGCTTACCAGGTACTAGGGTACAGACTTTTCAGACCTTCAAACCATTTCAGTGGAAATGTGTCTTGCTTAACTTAAATTGCTCCTAAAATATTTGACAGTGCTTGTTAGAAATTCCTGTTTCCTGATAGTGAATCTAAAGAAATCAGATGCCACACATCAGATGTAAGCGCCAGCGCTCAGATGGCGTGAGATTCATGCTGCCTACGGCTTCATCTGCTTTGACATCTCGCTTTTTTCTGACTTGAAGACAAAGGAGAACTACAGCCGTCTTTAGCTTCTGAGACCATCTCCATGTAGTCAATGTCATTCTTCCTTTACATGAACTATTACTGAGACCAACCCACATGTACAGTACTTCCTCACAAGACTTGTTGCTGTACAATTACTGCTTCAAGAAGTAGCGGCAAGCACTTAGTGTAAATAGCGATCCTTCTAGTCCAAGTAACCGTACGTCATCGCAGCCGTGGAAACTCATCCTGGTGTGCGCCCGGGGAACATCCCTCCTGCTCTCCCCAGTAGGCGAGGGTGGTACTCCACAGCTGCTTCTCAAAGTGTACCCATAGGCTGGATCTGAGTTTTGTCTCTCTAAATGTTAAAAAAAAAATAAGGGAAAGAGAAAAAGGACATACCCCCGGCTAAATTTCAGTGTAAGGTAATAGGACAAGAGTGCAATCAACAGTTACTCTAAAGTGAACCTTCTCATCCACTTCTCATCTTTTCCTTGTATAAGGAAAGACATTGGGCTAGCAAGGATGTTATCTGTGCCTTGAGGATAGCAAGTATAGAACAGATCCACCTAAAATATGGTATTCTGCATTTTGTTGCTTTGTTTAGACGGCAATACCAGTCTTCAAAGAAAAGGAGGTGAAGACCAGTTATTTCAGTAATCGAGGACATCCATGTTTTTAGATAGAAGCATGGTCATACATGCTTTGGAGGTTAAGTATTTAGGATTGTTGTCCAACTTTCAGCCAAGGAAAAAAATCAGTGCAGCCTGTACGTTTTCAAAGTTTGTTAAGAAAACGTTCCTTCTGTGGCACGCTTATGCTGCTGAAGGCTGAATCCTCAAAATAAAACTTAAGGAGTGGACTAATAACCCCAAGTAAATAGATGATGTTACTACTAATTCCTGTCCCATAGAAGAATAGTTGGTAGTGAATAAACATATCCTGGAGAGATGAACCCAACCTGGTAGATAAGAGTTTGCTTTGGTCACAGTGGCCTATGACTATGGGTTTCAAAACAAACATAAAGCCTTAACTAGAATTTCATTGTTTTAGAATTGTCACTGCCTTAATGTCCGAACATTGATTTAAGTTCTCCCAGCAAAGGAGAAGTGCATGTTTGTTTATGGCTTTTTTTGTAAATATAAATGCAGTGATCTTTGGCTTTAAAAAATTTGTTCCTGTGAAAATGTTTGTTAATTAATCCAGCCAGTAGAGTTATTTACAGAACAATTGAGCATGTCATAGTTCTTTATGTACAAGAATTGTTTTCCCTCCCAAAAACCTTAGTTACCTGAATTGTCCTAAGATTATTCGTAATAACTGAAATTCAGTGATTAAAGAGAAGTGAGAATTCTACCTTTTTGTGTGTGTGTGTGAATTCTTTGACATACTCATAATGTGACCTGTTTTGTTGCCTTGACTTTTCACAAACCCATCATCTTCTGATAGTCACAGGATACAATGGTTGTGCCTAGTTATTTTCATAACTGTTTTACCTGTGTTCATGAAAATATACTAATAATTTTCCTAGTAGAAGAAAAGACATTCCGTTACTAAACTTTCTATTTTGATATGAAGTTTTTATCTGATAAAAGTTACACACCTTACGGTTTTAAGTTTTGGAAGGATTTCAAAGGAGATTACTCCAATTCATGCATTTGCTGAAGGCGACCATGTTATAACAGGATGCCATTTATCTTTGTAAATAATATAATTCTAGCTTACGAGCAAAAATAAGAGGGTTAGAATATGAGTAGTTCCTTAGTCAATGTGTTTCTGATTCCTTGTATAAAGGGGAAATAAAAACAAACTTTTTGTAGACTTACCTAAAATATGCTGAGTAAGGTTTGAAGCTTCTTTCGATCAGAAGAAAATGTATCCATGTCAGTCTAGTTGTGAAGTTGTAGTCTTCGTAGTGGCAAATTGACAGGGTGATGCATTCAAGTAATACTTTATGGCCTCAGTTTCAGAAGGTTTACCTTAATTCCAATCCAAACCTCACCAAAACTTGCCATCTAATATTGACTCTAAGCATTTACTCTGCTTTATTTCAAGCAATGCTTCTCTCTCTGGTCCTCGGAAGCCTCTTAAAGAGGAGGGGAAATGTATACCTTTGGGGATTTAGGGACAAAGGCTTTGAAGTCTCAAGTATTCGTTCCCATTGGAAGTGCTTTCAAGTGTCTGCTTGGTAAGATTTGGTTCTGGGAAAGAGCATGTCGATCTTCTGGCTTCATACTCCCAACATCTAAAAGACTGTCAAAAGACATGGAGTACATGGAGTTTCATCAAGATGTTGGCTAGTAAATTGTAGTTACAGCCAAGAAGGTAGTCCAGTAAATATGCTTGCTTCGCAGTGTTTCAACCCGAAGGGTTCTCTCAGTTGTGTCAACAGTGTTGATGAGCGGACACCCTGATGTTTTAGCTTAAATATAGGGAGAGGTAGGCTAAAGATGAAGGGGATTCCTAGGTTGTCAGTGTTCCCAGACTAACATCTGTGGCCCTACATTAGATAACCTGTGTGTGTGAAAGGAGCAAATATCCAAACCATGTGAATAAATTCAAGCATTGTCTGTAACGCTTGAACTGGAAGAATACCAATATTCATTCCTTTCAACAAACTGCAGGAAAAAAACTCTAAATTTTGTATCGCCTTACTAATAACAAAATACACGCATTTGTAACTTTGTGCTAAGTCCACAAAGTCAAAATAGTGAGGGCTGGCATAACAGAAACATTGCCGAGGCCACTGACTTGAATCGTGACTATCAAGAAAGTTACTATTACGGGACAGAAGGCTACAAAAAGGAAACAAGAAAATAATCGTAAAAAGTGATACTCATTTTTAGTTTATCAGTGAAGTGGTCAAATATTTGAGAAATTTTTTTTGAAAAAATATATCTCCATGGTGACTTTGTTATTCTCAAAAGTATATATGTCATTTCAATGTGAACAAAGTTATTTTGCTGTTTGGGGTTTTGTTTTTGTTTTTGTTTTTTTGTCATAAAGGCATGAGCTTCTTCGCATGGCATGTGTCAGTAAGACCTTATTCCAAGCATGGCATCTTTTACTGCTTTTGCTGGAAGCTTTTTTACTCTCTGCTTTCTGGTGCTCCATTGCTTTTTCCATCCCTTGTTTGGTTTTATGATTGCCTCTCAAACATATTTGTGCTTAGGATTGAATTTGAAAGTCATCCCCCTCTTTATCTTCTTTATCCTGTGCTGGAACGAGAAATTTAGTGACTTCAGAAAATGTAGAGCTTGTACTGTAATAAAAACACGGCAGAAGTCAAAACATCTTAAGTAATCACAAAGGGTATTTAACCTTCCAGTGCACTGCAGTAACATCTCCTATTTAAAGTGAGCCTTCAGGAGCACCTGGGCGGCCCAGTGGGTTGAGCCTCTGCCTTCGGCTCGGGTTATGATCTCAGGGTCCTGGGATCAAGCCTGGCATCGGGCTCTCTGCTCAGCGGGGAGCCTGCTTCCCCTTCTCTCTCTCTCTCTGCCTGCCTCTCTGCCTACTTGTGATCTCTCTCTATCAAATGAATAAAGTCTTAAAAAATAATAAAGTGAGCCTTCAGAAATTAAGATTTTATGGTACACTTGAAAAAAAAGTACTTAGAGAGCACACTAGCGTGAGGAGGGGGGAGAACACAGAGGGAGAGGGCGAGAAGAAGACTCTGCTGGGCCATACACGGCTTGATCTCTAGCCAAAATCAAAAGTGAGACATTTAACAGACTGAGTCACCCAGGCACCCCTTAAAGTACACTTTTTAGAAACCATCCAAACTTAAGCCAGCCATGCTTTGGGATTAATATGGGATTTATATTGCCTTACTTCAGTTCATGGGAACAATATTTGTTTTCCTAAATTTGAAAGTGTAGTGCTATTAATTGTAAGCTGCTGTTTGTTCTTTTTACCTTTTTGGTAAGATGTGTTCTATTTTAAAACCATTTAAATCACTGTTCTCTAACGAGATAATGTGCCTAAGTCTTCAGATTTAATGTTCTCTAGCTATCACAATAAGGATCTGACTTTCCATTTTCTTGGAATTACATGAGAGAAATCAGTCATGAGGAGTGAAACTAAGCCTTCGTAGAGTCATGAACAGTATCAGAACTGGTGGTATTTATCCTGAATAAATGTTTGATTTCTGGTTTTCTTTAGAATACATGCAGCCTAAAGTAAAATTGGTAAACAGTCCTATGGTATTAAAAATATGACTAGTTCATGGTATGTTTTCAAGTTAACAAAGTTTTCATAAGCAGAGAGATTCATTTTAAAAAATACACAGGGAAGAAAGCTTTCTAGTTTGAGCTAAATCGAGAACAAGGACTATTTTCATATATATGTGTGATGTATCAGTTTGCCAGGGGCAAAGGAGTGGCATATGAGCTATTAGCAATACATATATAATACTCATGCTGGTTTAGCATAAACGATGAATGCTGAGAGTATTGCTTAAACAGTATGGAATTCTGAATAATAGCATGTGTAAATACATCAGCTTATCATCATAGAATTCCCTTGAAAACCTTGCCAAAGCAATAATGCACGTTCTCAAAAGATAGAATATGGGAATATTGACAACTTTTCTGGGTACTGGCTAAGTGGGCCCGCTGTCATTATGAGATCGTCTCGGAGAAAAGGCTTATGGTTGCTTCCTTTTATGGGGAACCTAGGCAGGCACCACCAGAAGACCTTGAAGAACCAAGACAACACTGAGAGCACCAGAGGGCTTTAGATTCAGAGCACCTGTGCTTTCCAGGAGGCGGCAATCCAGGCATCGCCCACTTTTCCTTTGTCCCTGTGCCAAGGCTTGTGCTCGGTAAGTAAAACTGTCAGAGAAGCTGCAAACACAGAGATTGAATTCCCTAGAACATTGGTTCTCAACTAGGCTGATTTTGCCCTTGTGGCACTTGGTAACGTATGGAGGCATTCTTGCTTGTCGCGACTAAGGGATGCTACTGGCAGCTATCGGATAGAGGCCAGAGATGCTGCTAAGTATCCTACCCTGCACAAAACAGTCCCTACGAAGAATTATCCAGTCCTGTTACAAAGGAAGGAGAAAAAGATCCTTGACACTCGTGCATTTGACCAGGATAAAGACAATAATTAATTCCCAGAAGGGGCTTAGCACTCTTAGTGTCTTGTAACTTTAAAGGCATTGTTGTATTGTGTGGCTGGTAGTAGAGCTTGGGGCAGAGCTGAGTCTGGACATCAGGAGCCCGGCCCTGAGTCTCCTGGCACCAGCGTCCCAGTAAGTTTGGCAGACTGGTAGAGTATTTCCTGGGGCACCAGCGACTGCCCTGATACACCCTCAGTCATAGCCACAGGAGCCCCTCTGTTTATTCCCCACCTTGCTTCTCAGTAGCCCCTAAACTGCAGCACCAAGGTTGCACCTGACCCAAACCCAGACACCCCAAAAATCCCTAGATGTGAGAGCTTCTCCAGTCGTGCATCTTGGCCTTGGCCAGCTGGGGATTCCCAGAGAGATGGGCTGGGCTTCTGTGAGCTCTCCGGGTCCTAAAGCTCTTAAACTTGGAGGCAGGAAGAGAAAGCCCATTTGATTCTGGGTTCCAATCATTTTATAGCGCGGTCCTTCAAGTACAGGTAAATTTCATGAAAGGGGACCACGTCCAGAATAAAAAGAGCACAGCTAAAAATTAGGGAATGTCTCCCTGAGTGGCCAGAGTCCTACGTACTTGTCCAAACATAGCCCGACCTTATTTCTGATTTAAAGTCTTCCTCTTGCCCTTCGGAAGTGCCACCCCCGCATCTCTGTCAGGAAACATTCTGTCTATCCAGGTTTCCTGCCCCTTCAAGTCCTCCCTGCCATCACCCAAACCCCCAGCAGCACCCCCAGGCCTCAACCCAACCTCACCCAGAAGGTGACCTCAGACCCTGCAGGAGCCTGTGTCAGGTGCTGCCACAGTTCCACTTGGTGATTTTTAAAGTTTTGAGAAAAATAGGGGTTTGGAAAATTTGATTAATGAGACATCCAAAACTAATAGAATGAGAGATGAAAGATAGCTCTCCATACTTGGTTGAGAGAGGGCTAAAGGATCCAAAACCTGACTAAGACCATCACCCTGAGGTAGGAAGAGGGCTGTTGCCATTGTTACACGCTTACTGCCCTTCAGTGGCAGAATTTCGCCCGCAAGTTTTGTTGGTGATCTAGAATCCTAACGAGGACTTAATCCATTCAGATTTAATCTGAATGGAAACGGGCAAAACCTACAGTGATTTTATCCACAGAAAACAAGCTAAACCCAGGCTGATGGAAATACGATCCCAGCGGGGCTTAATCAGGTTAACTGAAAAACTAACTAAAGAGATGCCCAAGGCAAAACCCTCATATCTATCTATTCATAGAGGACGCTTAGTCAGTATTTTGCTAGCCAAACTAATTATTTGCTCAAAAAAAAAGGATACTGCACATCTTGAAATTTGGGCGGTTGCTTTGTTCAGACCGGCCCTCCTCTTAATTCTAAATCATTATGTTTACCCCAAAATCTATAGAATTTATAACCCTTATCTCAACAAAAAGGTTTTTCTTAAATATTTTGGGGGTGTCTGGGTGGTTCAGTTGGTTAATTATCTGCCTTTGGCTCAAGTCATGATCCCAGGGTCCTGGGATTAAGTCCCTCATAGGGGTCCTTGCTCAGTGGAGGGTCTGCTTCTCCCCTTCCCTCTCCCTCTGGCTCCCTCTCCTTACTTGTGCTATCTCTCTCTCTCTCTCTCTCTCTCTCTCTCTCTCATTCTCTGTGAAATAAATAAATCTTAAAAAAAAATCCAAAAATATTTTGTTTTTACTTAGTGTTTTCAGACTGCCTCAAGATCTCAAAATGTAAGCACCTCTGGGCTGAGTTGATGGGCTCTGTCCCTCGCTCATGCTGGTCGACATGCTTCCCCCAGTCGACACTCTTGCTTGTTTTACATGTTGTTAGTCATGATCTTGCTATTTATAAGAGGGGGTGTGAAGAACCACTGACTTAGGTGGGCAGGCTGCCAGAGCTGGAGGGTCCTCACACAGCACGGGATCCAACACCTCATGGTCCAGATACAGTGGGAAATCAGAGCTGCTTTTTTTTTTTTTTAAGATTTTATTTATTTATTTGATAGACAGAGATCACAAGTAGGCAGAGGCAGGCAGAGAGAGAGGAGGAAGCAGGCTCCCTGCTGAGCAGAGGGCCCAATGTGGGACTTGATGCCAGGACCCTGAGATCATGACCTGAGCCGAAAGCAGAGGCTTTAACCCACTGAGCCTCCCAGGCACCTTGAAGTCAGAGTTTCTTGTAGGCAGAATCCAGATGGTTTCTTCACTCGGAGAAGAAGAGGTGGGTAGAGCCTAAAAATTGCTTCTAGACTATAAAAAGGTATCCAACCTCAGCAGGCAAAACACACCTTTTAATGACCATTGTACTATAATCATTTCTGCATTTCTGGTGTTTTGTAAATAAATCACAAAACAATAAAGAAATCTAAAACTAAGAGAAAAGGCATTACAAAGACCAATTGTGGGAAGCAGGCGTTTAGAAATACAGTCATATATTTTGTCTACCCATCATTTAGGGGACAGGAAGTCCAGAGTTAAAGTACAACCTACTTAAGCAAATGCAAACTATGTAATTACAGAGCGGCTAAATGGTTATTCATGTTACAAAATGGTTTTTCAGAGCATTCCTCTACATAGCATTTTTACTTGGCACTTAAAACATAACTCATTTACAAATGTTTACATACAACTTCAGGAAATAGGCATTGAATAGGTAAAATGAGAGAAGAAGAAGGGCAGAAGGAGAAAATAACACCCCTATTCCACAAGTGTCTGTGTGGGGTTGTAAGTTCCCAGAAATTAGATGCAAAGTAAGGCTGGAGGAAGCTTGTGGGGTGACAGTTATAATTACACTGACTTTTCTGTTCAAATAATTATTCTTAACCTGCTTCCCAGGATGGACCTTATAGAGCTGTAGCTAAAACTTTTGCAGACCTGGAGACTAGCACGAGGCTATCACATAAGCATATGAAACCCTGGGATGTGTAGCAAGTAGTGGATATGCTATATCCATGGATACCAGCGTATGACACCTCGGACACAAGGATATTTATTTGGACACAGGCTGGAGTTTTCTATTAAAGCAATGTTTCAGATCTTTGCTGCAAGAGAAAAGAAATCAACAGACAGATATTTGCCTGGTTCAAAAGATCAGGAAACAATTTGGTTGAAAATAAGCGCTTACACTTAGCTTAAGGCACCAGGGTGGGGCAGAGCGAGCCCCTGCCAGTTGGCATGGGGCTGCCAAGGGCATCACTGAGGGAGGCCCTTCAGAGTCCCCACCATGCACTTGGCTTCTAGGGGGAGTAGAGAGATAAGGCAGGCAGAGGCTGACACTGGCTTTACAGTTTGCATTTTGTAAATGGCTCAGCAACGGAAGCAGGGCACATAAATATGAGGGTTTGGGGAATAAATCAAAACCCATCCCATGAAGTTCCATTTCCCCTGGTTCTACTGCAAAAAAAAAAAAAAAAAAAAAAAAGGCAAGGGGAGGGTAGGTGGGTGGTAAGAGTATGGAAGAAGAGAAGAAAAGAAGAAAGGATGGGACGGGGCAGAAGAGAGACAGGGAGAGGATAAATGAATTCAAACAGTACTTATTCCCAGGGAATTCTATTGTGGCAACTCAGAGCAGTCTGTGAGTGGAGACAGGAATGACAACTCTGCTCACGGTGAGGGACGGCAAGAGAGTTCTCGGGAACACTTTGGTCTCCAACGTTTGGGGCCTGTGTTCCTGCTTGGCCTCCGTGAGAATGCACTTTTGGGTGTTGACGGGAGGTCTTGGCTCCCTGGCTTTGAATTTGGCTTTGTAGTTCTGTACTCCGTGTTTCTGCAAGAGCCGCACAGTGGTGAGATAGCGCACGTTGCTGGGGTCGGGAGGGCACACCAGGTTTTTCTCAGGCAGGAGGGACCAGTGCAGGCAGCACCGCTCCTGATTGGCCAGCAGGGATGTCGGGGCCCCCCGGGGAGGAAAAGGCAGTGTGTCATTGACCTTGGGGTGACTGGCCAGCTCAATGGGTCTCTTTTCACCTTTCCCATCAACTGTTTTCAATCCATATGCACAAGCCACACACTCATCCTTTTCCACACTCAGCACCTTCTCCTCCGGCTGCAAGAAGTTCTTACTCTTCTTACCCAGAACATCCAAGCCATTTGGGAGTGAAGCCTTCAGGGGAGGCAGAACTAAAAGGGCCCTGGAAGTCAAGGAGTCTGAGATGGAGGGACCTCTGCTGGGGCTTCTGGGGTCCTTGCCCCTAAGAGCCTCAGGGGTGGCCCAGTCTTCCTTGCACCACATAAACTCCTTTATTTGCAGACTCTTTTTCTCTCCCTGACCGCAGCGGGGAAAGCAGATCTTGCTAACCTCCCTGGAGGTGGTGGTGGCGGCTGCGGAGCCCAGAGAGGTTCCCCGAGTCTGGGAGGGGCTGCCTTGATCCTTCTCCAGACCCACCTCAGCAGGAGCCCCTGACCCCAACTTCTCCGCCTCCGCCTGAGGCCTGGCCTCAGCACTCCCTTGGGAGAGACTGCCACAGAGTAAGCAGCTACTGGCACCTTCTCCCACCCTCGCCTTTTTAAGCTTCTTCCTGGGCCAGATGCAGGCAGTTGGAGAAGTCCTTCCCCAGCCTTGGACCTGCAAATAAAGCAGCATGTTACTCCCGGCAGAGCTGCTCAAACTCAAGCTGTCCAGCTGTGGCCACAGCCCCATTTTGGCCATTCTAACTGAACTGGTATTTCTCTTAAAATTGACTCACCTTTTTTTTTTTAATTTTAATACTATTTTAGCCTCATAGTAATAGCATTTTAACAGTATCTGTTCATCTAAAATACTAGCAATTGGATTTAATACTAAAATACTAAGCAAAAATATCTATAAATGGCCATCTCGATGTGCTGACTCTATATGTTTTCAGATGCACATTAAAATAAAGTCAGGAGGGGTGCCTGGGTGACCCAGTGGATTAAAGCCTCTGCCTTCGGCTCAGGTCATGATCTCAGGATCCTGGGATCGAGCCCCGCATCGGGCTCTCTGCTCAGCAAGGAGCCTGCTTCCTCCTCTCTCTCTGCCTGCCTCTCTGCCTACTTGTGATCTCTCTCTGTCAAATAAGTAAATAAAATCTTTTTTAAAAATAAAAACAATAAAATAAAGTCAGGACTCTTCAAATAAAATCAGAGCTGTTTGTACTTATCTCCCTACCAAGCTCTCTCAGACCACCGGGCTCTGTTACCACACCTTAGGAGACTGCTGTGTGGAGGGGTTGGAGGGAGAGACAAGGAGCAGAGGCAGGTCCTGCAGCCAGGGTACCCCCAGCACCCCTGTGCAACCTGCCCCCCAATCTATCCACACCTAGAGTCCCCTGGCTGAGCTTGCCACAAATGTCACAGTTTAACAGAGCTTCCAGGTAAAAATCAGGATCACATTTGAGGCTCACTTAATAGTAAACATATTAGGTCCTGTTTACCGAAATTCAAATTTAACCAGGCATCCTGTGTCTTCATTTGCTAAATCTGGCAACCTTATATGTAAAAAAACAAAACAAAACAAAAAACAAACAAAAAACCATATTTCCCATGCTTCTACCATGTTTCAGGCACCAAGCTAAGGATCCACTGGTATTGGCATTCGTTCATTTAACCCACGCCACAGCACTGTAATTTAGGTATTCTGATGTCCAGGATACAGAGTTGGAAACTGCCCTTCAAAACGTTACTATAGCCAATGGTAAGTTCTGGCACATTCAGAAGGTCTGCGCATTCCCATGCAGGGGACAGTGAGAGGCTGTGAGGAGCACAATGTCTCCTGGGCCCAACCACGGGGCCAGCCTCTCCAGTCATCTTGCACGAAAACCTCCCTCCACCATCACTCACTCTGGACCTCTGCACCCTCTTGCTGCACGTGCTCAGCCCCCCAAACTCTGAAATGGGAAGCATCGCTTTTTCAAAAAGGCTAGTAAGTGCCTGACACGGAATCGGGCATTCCTGTCCTCCTCCTACACCCCTCTGGCCAGAATTTACAGATGAGGAAGTTGGGCGCTAGGGGACAGGAGCCCTCCCCGAGGTTAGCTGTCGTAGGTGGTGAATCTGAAACTGATCTTTCTTATTCCAAAGTCCTGGCCCTTATCAAAGCCACAGGGATACCTCAAATATATGACAACCAAAAACAAACAAACAAATAAAAAACCCGCCTGTTTTCTTTTGCATAGTTAAGTCCTAATTCTTAGATGGCAATTATATTTGGGGGCTGTAAGGTCGCTGCCCTGTGCTGCACTCTTGAGACGCCTAAGGACACCTCTCCCAGCCTACTCTTCCGGCTTCTGTTCTGGAACTCTGTCCTTTCGTGTGCTGTTGAGTTGGTGCTGGGTCTTCGAGAGGACCATGTTGCTTGCTTCAGGCCTCACTGCTCTTGACCCTGACTTCCCAGGTGATTTTCCAGCTTTTGCAGAGAAGAGTCCCAGCACATACACTGACAGATCCTCAGGCTAACCGGCCTCTCTACGGTAGGTGGCTTCGAATGAGACAAGTCCCACGATCCTGAGCGCCCCTCCTGCACCCTCCCCACCATCTTCCTCTGGCCAGACAAGGGGGGGATGTGTCTCCTGGCTCTGCTTTGTAGCATCCCAGCTTTTACTCAGGTGGATACTTATTGAGGGAAATCTAAATTCTGGAACTTTAATCTTTCTACGATGTTTACAGATGTTCTATTTAATCTGTTAAACAGGTGGACCTGAGGAGCCAGCAAATGTTCTCTACTTGTTTGACCTTGAGCTGTTGCCTAAAAATCCAGACTCCTGAGCCCCACCATGGCCTACTAAGCCCATACTCCCAAGATGGACCTGGGCACGTGGATTTAAAAACACCCCAGGTGAGCCTCTACAGAGGATCTATGTCTCCAGGGTGTTCTGGCGGTCTGGCAGGGGATCTGAGTCCAGAGATGGGGGTCAATGACCCCTGACTCTTTTGATTCTCACAGCTGGGCTGTCATAGGTAAGCTAAATGTTGGTTGGGTTGCTCTGGGTCAAAAACGTACAGTCCTGGGGCACCCCATCCTGAGAGGCCCCTGGGCTCTGCAAACATAGGAAACTCTCACTAACTGCTTCCAGCAAAGTGTTCTCTGTCCTCATTTAAATGCTGGCCCACAGGTCCCCGGCACCAGCTCAGGAAATATCAAAGTGCCATAAGCCCGGGCAGGAAGCTGGCTTTGGTGGGACAGGCCCCTGACACCTTGGACAAGGTGGCCTGAGAAGCCAGGGAGGACGGGTGTGCAGAGAGTGAAGAGCAACAGGCAGCAGGCGGGAGCAGGTGGCATGGCACGATCGTCCCCAACAGACTGAGCAGCAAACATATTCTCAGCATGGGGCACATGTGGCCTTTCTTCCAGTTAATAGAAAACTCTTTTCCAACAGCCCTTGGATAGATACATTTCAAAGTAATTCCTTTTGATAGTAAACCGAACCTTCTAAACTTGGGAAGTTTTAAATCCTCAAATAGAACTGTCTGTAACCCTGCCTTAGCTGGCATGAGCCTGTGGGGACACTGGCTGCCGGCGGGGCAGCGCCAGAGACAGCACAAGAAGAGGGGCTTGCAGAAGTCCCCTCCTTCCACTGTCAAGTGGAAGGAGGACTTGGGGGAATTGCTCTGCCCTGTCTTGGCCTCAGTTTCCATATTTATAAAATACACCAATTAGATCAGGGTTCCTCAAACCTCACCACCACTGACATTTAGGGCACATTATGGATTGCATGACTGTCTCCCCCCAAATTCCTATTTTGAAGCCCGAATCCCCAAAGTGATGGTATTTGGAGGTGGGGCCTTTGGAGGTTATTAGGGTTAATGAAGTCAAGAGGGCGGGGCCCTCAAAATGGGATTAGTGCCCTTATAAGAGGAGGCGGAGATAAAGGGTCTACTTGCACCACCAAAGAGGGCCATGTGAGCACAAAACAGGAAGAGGATCCCCCACCAGGACTCAACCATGCTGGCACCCCAATCTCAGATGTCCGCCTTCTGGACTGTGAGAAATAAATGTCTGTTGCGTATGTCCCCAGTCTATGGTATTGTTAGAGAAACCCCGAACTAAGACAGAGCTGGGTCGTTCCTTGCGGTGTCCTGGCATCCTGGGCACTGTGGGATGTGGAGCAGCACCCTCGGCCTCTGTCCGGTAGATGCCAATAGCACCCCTTTCCCTCACCCGCAGTTGTGTGACATCGCGGCTGTTCATAACACGTGCCTCCGAGGGCTGGTGAGAGGCTGAATGAATTGGTGTGTACGGGAAGCATTTAGTCTTGCACTTGCCAACACTAACTGGCCACAAATACCCAATCAAAGGTACTGCTATGGCCATTCTGTGTATTTTACCTCTATTCCTAGGGTTTCTATGTTTCATTGCTTATACATTTGTTGGTAGTAACTAGTTTTGGCAAAAGTAAAAGGAAAGGCTGGCATCGAAACACAGATGCCTGAGGCACCTCGGTCAAGGAGATACTCACAGCTTCTTCCCACCCAGTTCCGATGACAAATTCGATAGCTTTTTCATCTTGTTCAAGCGTAATGTCACTGATACTGAGAAGACAACAAATATGATTCTTTTCACCTCTTTCATCCGGGCAAGTATAGGTTAATTCTGTTTCTTCTGGGCTGTGAATTTCGTTATTTTCACTATTTTCTAATTCCGTCTCATTTTTCTGACAGAGATCCATTACTGTGATTGGGGCTGAAGGTTTTTAACATCTTCTTCCTGTAGCATGAAATGCAGGCTGAACTTAGTTTGTAATATGCATTTCCTAAAAACTGAAAAAAAAAATCTATAACTCACGCAAAATAACAACAAGACACATTCCAGAATAGACTGTAAGAAATGTTACAAAACCGGCCATTGCCGGATATTGATACTATAAAAGATACAGCTATTTGGAAAGACTAATGGATTTAATTAAAGACCAAAGTTGGGATTGAACAAAAGAGGATAGGAAGATGTTAGCGGAGGCTTTATCCCTCGTGATGGGGTAGAGCAAGGCAAGGAATATAGGTTTAAGCACCCCTGTCCTCCATTCCAAAAAAAGTCCAGATGCTTCTGTGCAAACACCATGGGAACTGTGGTGGGCATGTGTGACCTGGCCACTTCCTCTCCTTTCCCTTCCCGGCAACTCTGGACACTGGTCTAGGCTGGGGAGTATGTGGTCTAGGCTGGGTCAGTGTGCTCATGCCAATCTAGCCTGGATGACTGGGTCCTTATGAAAATGGAGATCTGGACACAGACACGCAGAGAGGGAGGCCATGTGAAGAGGCTCAGGGAGAAGACTGTAAGCTACAGAGAGGGGCCTAGAGCAGATCCTTCCCTCACAGCCCTTGGAAGAAACCAAGCCTGCTGACACCTTGATTTCAGACTTCCAGCTTCCAGAACTGTGAAACAATCCATTTCTGCTGGTTAAGCCGCCCTATGATCTATGGTCTGTGGTCCTATGTCAAGGCAGCCCCAGCACACTGGTACTGTTCATGGTGGTAATGGTCTCAGCAGGAATGATGATGAGCGCGATACTGTCTATCCTTCACTGATGTTTGTCCAGGTTGAAAATGCAGCTTGGCATTTATAATCAGTCAAAGAGTTAGGAAAGTTGTCATCCTTTTTATTTTTGTTTTTGATTTTAGTAGGCTCCACACCCAGCATGGAGCCTGACGCAGGGCTTGAACTCACAACCCTGAGATCAAGAGCTGAGCTGAAATAAAGAGTCAGATGCTTAAACGACAACCACCCATGGAAAGTTATCATCCTGATCAGGAGCACAGACTTGGATGCCCAAAAGCCAGTGTTCCAATCCTATCAGTAGCTCTACGACCTTGGGCAAGTTACTTTTCTGGGTCTGTTTGCTCATCTCTAAGATGGGCATGATTATAGTACCTTCCTACAGACAGAGGCTCCTCCTGAGCACCCCACAAGCCGCAGAGATGAACCCCAGGGCCCAGGCAGTGACCTCCAGTGGTCCGGCTGCATGCTGATGGGCAGCCAGGGTCTTCTGGAGGATTCCTTGCCTATAATGACACAGAGGCCACCGGGGACCACACACTTGGCTTTCTCTCCCCCTAGTGAGCCCTGCCAGAAACCCACTTATTAAGTTTTCTGTTGAGGTAGAGATCAGTAACTTCTTAAAACATTATCTGTTTAATTACCATTTTGGCTTTTTCACATAGGCTTAAAGTAGCACTTTGAAGCAAATAAAGTTCCATTTACCTATGGAAGGTCAAATATCTTTGGACATCCTAATCTTTTCCAATATGAGATCAGAGGAAATGGAAGAAATCTGAAAGGAAAAAAATGATATCAGAAGTGGCTAAACCGGGGCGCCTGGGTGGCTCAGTGGGTTAACCCTCTGCCTTCAGCTCAGGTCATGATCTCAGGGTCCTGGGATCGAGCCCCACATCCGGCTCTTTGCTCAGCAGGGGAGCCTGCTTCCTCCTCTCTCTCTGCCTGCCTCTCTGCCTACTTGTGATCTCTCTCTCTGTCAAATAAATAAATAAATAAAATTAAAAAAAAAAAAAAAAAAGAAGTGGCTAACCCCCCAGAAGTGCTATTCTGTTTACCAAGAATAGCATGATTAAGGACCAGACTGCAAACCAGCCTGATCCTTTCATCTTGTGAAATTTCACTTCAGTCACTACTCAGGCCCAAGAAGCTCCTAACTCAGTCACGTTCTCCTCTGGATGACCCATACGCTTGTACCACAAAAGCCCAAAGCCTTAACAAGTATATAGTTAAAAAGGAAGAAAAAAAAAAGTAGAGAATCAAAAGCAAAGCCATTTATTTAAATAAGAAAATAAATGTGCACTTGAGGTTAATGTAGCAAAGAAACAGATAATATTTAGGAGGGATTAAGTATAGCTAGAATGTTCAAGTCAATAAGAAAAAAGTTCTGTGCTTGATGCGTCTCTGCTGGCAGGGTGCTCACTACTTAGCCTGTTCTAGTGGCTCTAATTTACTGGGTCTCAAACTTGGCTGCACCTAAGAATGACGCCACACACCCTAACCACAGAGATTCTGATTCTTACTGGTCTGGGCCAAGTCTGGCCATCACGACTTTCGAAACCGCCCTACGTGGCTGTATAATCCAGCAGCGCTATTAGGAAGATCTCCCTTATACTGACCCCAATACAGGTTTCCCTGCCCCCTCAATATCCCCTCATGTCCTCACTTTGCCCTCGAGAGCAAGGCTCTATGATGGGAAGCCTTCCCATCCATGCATGGACTTGAGGAGATCTACGACATTTTGAAAAGTGCTCAAGCATTTTTCTCAGGAAAAGGGCTTGCGTCAGAGGTACAGAGCTGTCACTGCAAAGGGTTGAAGAGTCATTGATCTGAAGATGGCCTGTTGCCTCAGCTCCCAGCCATCCCTATGAAAAGGATAAAAAGTTTCCACGTACTCTTATGTCTGTCAGGTTAACCCTCTCCAGCAACTTCAATTATTTCTCACATGTCGTGAGAATATGTGAAATGTGAGAGGAAGACAATATAATCTCTGTATCAAGACAGACAAACGGCAGAGGCCAAAGATGTGGTAGTGGGGAAGCCCCTGTTTTGGAGTCAATAGAAAGAAGTTGGACCCTGTGAGGGTACCAGAAGAAGTTCCAGTCACATTATACTTCAAAATGCCAAAAGAAACCCAGGTGATAATAGTATTAAATAATAAAAGTGAGAGCGCCAGGCATTGTTATAAGCACTTCACATATTTGTTATAAATACTGCATTTTATAAGTACTTTATTCATTTAAGGATTATTCATTAAGGGAACAGTATTGATGCCTTATGACCCAACACTAAAAATCATCTGGGAAGTCAGTAAACAGACTATTCTTAGTCAAATGGCCAGATTACTGCATACCAGATAGCTAGGTGCGCCTCGGTAACACTGGTGTTCAAACTGGATTAAGATGCTCCACTACTAAAATAGAATGTTGGCGGTCTTTTCCTAATCAGAAAAGAAAAGGAAAGGAAAGGAAAGAAAAGAATTGAGTTAGTGGAAAGATCAGTCTTAATTTTACATTTTTCTCCAATAACCATGCCTTCAAGCTGTATTGCCCGTTCTTATCTTCCGGCTCATGTAAGAGGCGACAAACAGAAGTATACACGAAGCAATCAAAGATCAACTAAAAGAGTGGATATATGATTTCTTACAAATTGTATGCATTCTTACTTTTCTGTTGAAAGGCAGAAATCTGTAGGGATGTAATAGTCATATTTTCTGATAGTAAAATTATGCCTAGTTTACAGATTTGGAGTCAATCAATAGGTCATCCTATACCACTTCTCGACTTCTGTGGAGCTTTACGATCATATAACTGAGAGCTTATTACTTTACAAGCATGTTGTTTCATTCCACCAATAGCTCTAAAGATTAGAATGACACGTGCAACCCCGAAACTCATGCTCCTCAGTTCCTGGTGTTCCCCCCAAAAGTGACATGATAATCCTGAAAATAACTGAAGACAGCTATTATTTCTTCAGAAGAGAATCTCAAATTCCCTCATCTTAAGAATGTATAATTACTGATAATGTATAATTATAAAGATAATTAAAATACAGTACCTGGAAATGAGGGTAATATTTCAAATGCGGTCTGGCTAGAAATGCCTATTTTGAAATCTGACTCCCTTTGATCTGAAATCTACACCTATTAATTGAACAAAGATTGCTACATTTTTTTTGAAGATTTTATTTATTTATTTGAAGGCAGAGATCACAAGTAGGCAGAGAAGCAGGCAGAAAGAGAGGAGGAAGCAGGCTCCCTGCTGAGCAGAGAGCCCTATGTGGGGCTCAATCCCAGGACCCTGGGATTATAACCTGAGCCGAAGGAAGAGGTTTTAACCCACTGAGCCACCCAGGCGCCCCAGATTACTACATTTTAAAAAAAACAATATCCCAATCCTGATTAACACTGATCTGGAGGTCATCTATAACTTCTACATTTTTTTCCCACACGAATTGTTAATAATCTTTGCCTTTTTCACTCCATATCCATGCTGTTAATTTTCTTCAAAAAAATTTTTTTTCTTTTTGGGGCACGTGGGTGGCTCAGATGGTTAAACATCTGCCTTCAGCTCAGGTCATGATCCCAGAGTCCTGGAATCAAGCTCCACACTGGGCTCCCTCCTCAGCGGGAAGCCTGTTTCTCCCTCTCCCACTCCCCCTGCTTGTGTTCCCTCTCTCGCTATCTCTGTCAAATAAATAAATAAAATCTTTAAAAAATAGCAACAAATTTATCCCCCCCCCCCTTTTTTTCTTTCAGTAGATATAGACCTCTGGATGGACTGGATCTTTCCAAAATTTCCTCTTGTTGGTTTTGGACATCATTCCAACCTGCTTAGATACTTGTCAGTCTGACTGTGACACCCCACAGCTTGGTCATTCCTTCCCACTTTAAGACTTGCAATTTGATAGGCATACCTCCTGTAACTTCCTCTAAGTCCCTGATAAAATATTGGCAAGAAGAGGGTAAAGGATAATGCCATGTGTTTATCCCTTGTACTGGGGCGTTTACTAATTACCAACTGGCTACAAATTCACCTCGGTATAGAATTATCTGGCCTGTGCATATAAATCTCATCTATACGATTCGTGATCCATTGATTTAGGTAAACTTTTCTTTTTTAAAGGACTATCAAGAGTTTAGAAATTCACATTTATGTTGATGTCTATTAATTTTTAAACTATTTACTCTCTATCTTAGGCTTGAAGAAGAGGTTCCAAATTGTTGGTTCCACACAGTCCCAACACAACTACAGCATTGCGTTGAGAAGGATGTTAAGACTCGGCCACTGCAGGAAAGAGTTCTGTGGTTGATTAATGATGTCTGCTAGAGAATAAAGAGTGGTAACACACATGCTACCTATTTGCCATTGCTTATACAAAAAGTCAGATTCCAAATGCCTTAATCTAGATTCCTACACTGGGTTGACACATTCTCAGGTAATTAAGGGGGAGGGTGTTGATGGGCCAGGAGAGGTGAAAAGCCCAGGACATTTAAGTCAAAAGCAAGCTATGATCCCTTAAAACTCCTTGCCATCTCCTTGGCTCTACACCACGCCCTACACCCTCCCCACTTCTTTCTGGAAGTTTCAGATTTAAAGGAATCGTGAATCCATGTCCGAATTTCAGCCTGGGAAAGATACGTTTCTCATAGTCTCAACTAGAATACCGAATGGACGGTCCTGTGGATCCTTAATCACATGTGTTGGGTGAGGAAATCAATGAACAGAAACACCGTTAGCTATGGTGGAAGCGAACTTTCTTAATACAGAGCTAAGCTTCAGGCATATGAAGTGGTTAAATAGGTCTTGAAGAGTGTCTTGGGCCTGCTGATCACTGGTAATATAGTTTCTAAAGGAAAATGATATGAAGACTTCAATCTAATTTACAGTTTTGGAACACAGCTTGGCAGGGAGTTGAATCTTTGCCTCAAAGTTAAGCACATGCACCACTCAATTTGCACAGTTTGTTCACATTTTCAGGAGTATAAATCTTATCTCTCCATGTTAATTATCTTGCGCCTTATGCTTCTTACGTGCCCACAGAGCACAGCAGCTTTGATGACCCATAGAAGGAATCCTAAGGGCGTGATTCATACAACTATCCCTCCAGATCAGCCGTTTTGGTTTTTACTGCAGTCCCAGTCTCCAACCCTTCCGCTCTTTCCACTCACACCCGTTCTCTCGCTAAGTGCCTATCAGATGCCTAGCTCTGGTAATAAAATAGTAAAGCAATGCCTGTCTTCTCAGCTGTCACACAGCTTACAAGTCTACATGAAAGCACAAGTCATCAAACACACACAATCCACCTGTTGCTCCTAAAGCCCAGGCGCTTCACACCTGGCTCTTCCCTTTCTCAAAATAGCCCCTCCCCTTCCCCGAGGCGCCTTCCCTTCTTTCAAGATCCTTCCTCCTCGTCGTCCAGCAGCTCCTGCCGTGCCACAAAAGATGCCTACCCTTCTTTTAAGAGCTGTCCTCTCCCGCAAAACGTAACCCCTTGCCCACGAGACCTTCCCCTTCCTCCCTTGGCTCCTCCCTCACAGGGCTCCGCCCTTTCAACAGCCCCTCCCACTGCCACACCCATTCCTCGCCGCTCCTCCCCGGGGCCCGCCCACTCTTATTCCAGCCCCCGCCCACACTACCTCTAGCTTACGCCTTCCCGCCTCGCAGGGCAGCTTCCTTTCCGACCCGGCGGGGCCTGTCGCTCTGCCGCCTGTGGAGTGGTCTGGGGCCTCGCCCGGGAGGCGGGGAAGCGGCCGCGGCCGCTCACACCCTTCTGTGGGCCCCACGGGATGCAAGGCCCCGGGACAGCTAAGTCTCCGCGGGGAGGCGAGCGCGACAGTTGCCCTGGGTGACGGACGCGCTGGGGGCGGGGCCGGCGGGGGGTTGTCGCAGAAGTGATGCAGAGCCCGCCTGGCGTAACAAAGCCCGAGCGCGGGAGGCGACGCTGGCTGACTGCTGTGGGCACGTGCTCCCGGCAGGCTTTGCGCAGCTGCGCACCTGCCCGCGGCGCCTGACGAATCGCCACCTCCTGTGGGCGCCTGAAGACGCGTTTGAGGTAAGTGTAAGACCCAGCTGCGGGGCAGACGCCGCGGCCGGATGCCCCGCGGACCGTGGAGCTAGAGAGGGCCCTCGGACCGGTTTCCCCTCGGAGACCCGGGGCGCCACACCCCGCGCTGTTGCCGTCGAGCCGGAGGGTGCTTGGGGCGGGGGGAGGGGGGCTGCCCCGCGCGTTGTAGGGTGCTCGGCAGCGGCGGTGGCCTCCACTCTCTAGATGCCTGGCAGCCACAAAGGTCTCCAGCTTTGCCAGCTGCTCCCAAACCGCCCCTATTCTGGAGAGGGACTGTGGACCGAAACCTCCTAGTGGAATCCACGCCCGGCTTGTTCGAGGGGGCAGTAGTTTGAATCCGCCGACCCCACCACGGCGCGCTCCTTGAACTTGTCCTGTTGCGGTACAGCCCTGAAGGGAAGTAGCCTCAGGCCCTTAAGCCAGAGGACGAACTGGTCGAAGACAATGCAAAGCTCCCCACTCCTCCCCTCCTCTTGTCCTCACACTTTGGAAGGCCTCGGAAGTGCAGCCGGGGGTGGGAACCCATGGCCCAAGCCAGTTACTCAGTGGTGGAGCCTGGACCCAACTCACGTCTGATTCCAAAGCCGATCTGCTTTCCAATTGTTGTTTTTCCCTCAGTCTGAGTATTTCTGTTGTATAAAAGCATTTTTTAAAAGATTTTATTTATTTATTTGACAGAGATCACAAATAGGCAGAGAGGCAGGCAGAGAGAGAGAAGGAAGCAGGCTCCCCGCTGAGCAGAGAGCCCGATGCGGGGCTCGATCCCAAGACCCTGAGATGACCTGAGCTGAAGGTAGAGGCTTTAACCCACTGAGCCACCCAGGCGCCCTTGTATAAAAGCATTTGAATGTCTTTTTATAGCACTATGATTAAGAGGCATTTGGAAAGATAGCTATGTATTACCTTTTTTTTTTTTTTTTAAACAAGCCCTCCTCCTCACCCCCGGTAATTACCCTGGAAAGTCTACAGAAAAACTACTGTTAACACTCTGGGATGTTAGAACAAAGTACTTTTCTGGATATGACTTTTTTAGGTGTCATTTCTTTACCTAAAAGATGCACATTTGAGTCTTGTATCTCACAACCTGGAAGAAATGGTATGCCCTGCGTACTTTTTTCTAAGAACAATTGTACAAAACTGCATTACTTCACTGCACATTTTTAAAACATAAAACGTTCATAAATTTAAATGGTAGCAAAATATCATAGATGTTGGCATTTAGAAGTGTCACATCCCAGGGGGCTTGGGTGGCTTAGGCAGTTAAGCGTCCCAGTCTGGGTTTGGTCCTGATCTCATGGGTTGTGAGAGGGAGCTCCGCACTGGACTCTCTGCTCAGTGGGGAGTCTGCTTGGATATTCTCTACCTCTGCCCCTTCCGCTGCTCTGCTCATGCTCTCTCTCTCCAATAAGTAAAATCTTAAAAATAAAATGTTACAACCCTCTTTGAAAAGTACTGAAATCTAAGGGCAGTGTGATACTCATCAACATCTATTTAAAAATATGAACTAATTAAATTCTTCTTTCTTCTTAAATTCGTAATTGTATTCAGATTCTACTTCCTACACAGAACTTTATTCTAACGTATTTATGATCAAATGGTCAGGACTTACTGAGTAGTCGTGTCAATTTGATGTGCAAAAGAAAACGAACTTGAAAGTAAAACTTCAAGACCCTAAGGCTAAAATATAAAACAGTGCCTTGTTTTTCCAGATGGAGAAATGTCCTTATTCCTACTAAGTTGACAAACAGTAGGAATGTATTACATGTGTTGATAGTTATTAATGTTGCTGGAAGTTACCACAGTGAAATGGGTGGCACTGTTCTCCCCTCCACAATTCTTTTATCTGTGGATACGTATCACATGTTGCTAGAATTAGACAGATTCAGCCCCAATTTTATTCTTTTTAAACATGTATAATCTGATAACTTGTTCATATGAAGATGCATATGAAAGAGGTTTTGTTATAGCAGTCTCTCAAGTTTTTAAAAACTCCTTTCCACACAGAAATCTGTTAAAAAATTTTTTACTGACAGTTCAGCTAGGTCCTCCTTCAGTTCTTCTGAAAACAAAATTTGAAATCACCTGACTAGCAGGCAGCTTTGTTACCAACTCACTAAAGCTACTTTCTGTTTCTGGGAAGTATACCAAAAATTTTAACGAACTGTTTTACTAAATGATTCTTAAACTTGACAGTAACCATGTTTTCATTAAGCACATGGGAAAGTTGGAAGATGGTAACTGATTTCCTTAACAATAACTGTCTGCACACATTGCTTTTAAATAGGCTTTTTTTTTTTTTTTTGAAAGATTTTATTATCCATTGACAGAGAGAGAGCACAAGTAGGGCAGAGAAGCAGGCAGAGAGAAGAAGGGAAGCAGGCTGTCCACTGAGCAGGGAGACCAATGCGGGGGTCGATCCCAGGACCCTGGGTTCATGACCTGAGCCAAAGGCAGAGGCTTTAACCCACTGAGCCACCCACGCACCCCTAAATGGGCCTTTAAAATGGGCTAGTGGTAATCACTGTTGGAAGTTCAGCAGGTAAAAACCTGATAGCATGACTGAGCAGAAACATTCAGGGACAACTGTTCAAGTTATTATTACAAAAAGCCATTATAGACTGAATCAAGATATGAGAAGCCCTAGTAGAATAAAATCCTAGAGTTGGCCCAGGAATGTTTCAAAAGCAAAAAGATGGAGGCAAGAGATATATGAAAACTGTATTTTCTATTTAATTTTGCTGTGAACCTAAATCTGGCCTAGAAAGGGAAAATACTGATGGCGATAGGTAGTGAGTAATAAAACCATTTTCAGGGAAAAGAATTTAATCACCTTGTAAAGTGAGGGTCATTTCTGAGGAAAGCATGTGTGATTGGGTCTGAAAGAACAGAATGATTATTTTGTTTTTGCTTTTAGTTTTATTTGTCCGAGAGTGAGCGAGCGAGCACCAATGGGGAAGCAGGTTGGAGAAGCAGGCTCCCTGCAGAGCAAAGAGCCCAGTGCGGGGCTCCATCCCAGGACCCTAGGATCATAACCTGAGCCAAAGGCAGATGCTTAAGCAACTGAGCCACCCTGGGATCCTGAATGCCATGACTGTTAAGCAGTAATGAGGACAGTTACAGTTAGCATAATTAAAAAAAATATATTTATTTAGGGGTGCCTGGGTCCTGCTCTGCAGGGAGTCTGCAGCTCCTTCTCCCTCTGCCTCACTCATGCTCTCTCTCGCTCTCTCAAATAAATAAAGTCTTTTTCTTTTTTAAAGATTTATTTATTTATTTGACAGAGATCACAAGTAGGCAGAGAGGCAGGCAGAGAGAGGGGGGAAGCAGGCTCCCTGTTGAGCAAAGAGCCCGATGTGGGGCTCGATCCCAGGACTGAGATCATGACCTGAGCTGAAGGCAGAGGCTTAACCCACTAAGCCACCCAGGTGCCCCTCAAATAAATTAAATCTTAAAAAAATATATTTATTTAGAGAGAACACAGAAGCAGGGGGAGGGGCAGAGTGAGAATCTCAAGCAGACTCTCTGATGAGGGCACAGCCCCATGCAGGCTGATGCCAAAACCCTGAAATCATGACCCCAGCTGAAACCAAGAATCAGAGGCTCAACCAACTGAGCCACCCAGGTGCCCCATGCAGTTTCTTTCTTAATACTTAATGTCATTTACTTCTTTAAACTCTGGGAGGTGATAAAATTTTTAAGGTGATAAAAATTTGCAATACCTCTAGGGTAACCTGTTCCATTTCTTGAATTTTAATTACTAGCAAACGTTATCTAAAACCTTTATTAAACTGTTAAGACCAAAACCATTCAAAAGGAGTATGAGGTCAGAAAAGTTAAATTCTCTGCTGATTTACCATTTGGAAGGCTGTTCAATGCCTGTTATTTTTGACAGCACTATAGTAGAAATGAGGGTTGAAATGGTTCTGTATTCTAAATAGCAAAAGACCAACTTGCCATACCAACTGGCTCTTTGAAAAAGCTCAGAGGGATCCTAACAAAGCAAATGTGTGTCTTTGGGAAAGGATGAGAGAATAAAAAACTGCCCATCTCTTTCAGATGATAATCACTGATGTCCTTTCATGCTGGAATTGCCACTTTTGCTTGCATTGATCCTCCCTCCCTACCACCCCTATTCCAACTTCAGTATTTTTATAGTAACATTAGCGAAGGAACTGATAAAGAATGGAACAGTAAATGTGAAAATCCTAACCATGGATTTTTAAGTGTCCAGCTATTTAAGTGTCTTATCCTCTCCACTACCTTTCTTTTCTGTGAAATGATGGTAGTTATGGATCTGTCCTACCTAGCTCTGAATATTGCTGTAACCATCAAAGAAGGTAATGTGTGAGAGTAACTTCAAAACAAAAGAGTAAATCTATATAATCGTTACTCATTCTTTTTTATTTCCAAAGCAGAGTAAATTAATTTTAGTAATTAAAAGTTGATGAATAATTATACAAATAAGGAAACAGTCATCCAAAATGTTTTGGATACTTTGTTGATAAGGGTGTAAAGATATAGCTCAGCAGTGACATGGCCATTAAAAAATGGCTTCTTTCTCCTAAGGACCAGGAAAAATTTATTTACCTACCTATTTCCTCTAGGTTTTCACATTTGCAGTTTATTCACGATCAGAAGGTGGTAGTATCTGAACACATCCCTCTTCTTGCACTAACTGGGAAAAACGATAAGAGGTATGTCTGCTTTTACTATGTATATAAGTGTATTTATATGTATTTATAGTTATGTGTGTATATATAATATCCCCTTCAAAATATCAGTGGAGTATACTTGGCTTAGAAAATACTCTATTTAGCTACTTAAAAACACCACTAGGCACTGTGAATTTGCTTAAGCTGTGAAGAATATTCACTAAGTCCATGTGTGAGCTTACAAGTTCCACTATGTCCATTTCTGTTTCCATTACTTAATACAGAAACCTAAATGTGGTTTATTTTCTTAAGGATGCCATGTATTGTGCTTAGCAAACTTTTCCCTTTCCTTGTTTTCCTCTTATGTCTTCTAACTTAGCAGTATTAAAAAAAAAAATACAAAATAAAACAAAAACCACCAAAGTCAGTGTCTTTTTTGATTATATTAAAGACGACCAAAAATGGTACTTAATGCTATCAGGCAATTAAGTCTTTAAGAAAAACCAGATTTGTGACTAAAAGGAAACATTTTCTTGGAAACTTTCATTGTTATGGCTTAAATTTCCTTTAAAAAAAAGTAACTTTCCGTAAGTTAAAATCAGCATTTGTTAAAATGAGCATTTTCACAAATATTAGCAGAGTCACTAAATGAAATATTAAGTGCAAAACAAAAAAACATGAGTAATGAAGAAGTTGAATGTTTTATTATTAAATGATTTATCTTCCTGCAAAGCTGTTGCTTCACTGTATAAAAATAGCACCAGCAAGTGCAGTATATTGCAAAATTAAGGTAGTATTGTTTTTATCTGGCACTGAACAACTAACCTTTCTCTACTGCCAGTTATTTCCAATGGAAAGATTATTTAAGTATTTTGACCCCCATCCACAGATAGATTGTAAGGAAGTTAAACAATATTCCCTAAGGCTTAAGGTAACAATGTCATCCTTCAATTACATGGTTTTTATAACTAGTTTTTAACCACAGATAATTTCAGGATTCTGCATATCATAACTGGAGCATAAAAATCATATGGTGTTGCAAAACAGAGGCATACTGTGTTTTTCTGCAGTCATTATAAAGTTAAGGGGTATTTTCTTCCATTAGCATTGTTGCAAGTAGTTTCTTTTTCTACTGTTATTGCTAATAGTTGCTATTTTAAAATCCTCTGTGTACCACTAATTTAAGACAACTATGCTAGATTAAGTTGTTTCATACTAGTTTATTTAGGGGTTCCATTTTCACTCCTCAATAGATTTTATGTATTTCTCATATGCTTCTTCACTCATTAATTCATCCAGTTCTGAAGGATTACTGAGTGCTATCTTGATCAGCCAACCTGCAACCGAAAAAAACGTATCATATTCCAAATTACCTTTTTAAAGAGTAAAAGTTCATTCAAAATGTGAAATTTTTGAGCCTCATAATTGATCTAGTATTCTTTATGTAAATCACTCATTACTTGTTTAAGGAGCTTTGTATTTTAGCCTTAAGAATTCAGTTAATATCCTTGCATATCACAATTGAAAAGAATGAAAGTACATAGATTCTACTCTAAAAGTTTAAGAACTCTTAACCACACACCTGTCAGAATGGCTAAAATAAAAAACAAGTGTTGACTAGAATGTAGAGAAAAAGGAACCTTTTCTGCATTGTTGGTGGGAATGCAAACTGATGCAGCCACTGGAAGACAGTATTGGAGGGGCCTCAAAAAGCTAAAAGTAGAGCTACTCTATGATCCAGTAATTGCACTACTGAGTATTTATCCAAAGAATACAAAAGCTAATACAAAATGCCATATGCACCCTTATGTTTACTGCACCATTATTTACAATTAGCCACATTATGGAAGCAGCCCAAGTGTCCATCGACAGATGAATGGATGAAGATGTGGTGTATGTATATGTGTGTTGATGTGTACAGAATGGATTATTACTCAGCAATAAAGAAAAATACGAAATCGTGCCATTTTCAACAACATGGATGGAGCTAAAGAGTATAATGTTAAGCAAAATAAGTCAGAGAAAGACAAATATTATAGGATTTTAATCATATGTGAAATTTTTAAAGTAAGCTCCACAACTAGCATGGAGCCCAACATGGGGCTTGAACTCATGACCCCGATCAAGACCTGAGGTGAGGTCAAGAGTTGGATGCTTAACGGACTAAGCCACTCAGGCACCCATGATATGTGGAATTTATGAAACAAACAAAGGAAAAAAAATAAGAGACTCTTCAGTTTAGAGAACAAACTGATGATTATCAGGGTAAGGTGGGTGGAGGGATGGGTGAAATGTGGCATCGGGATTAAAGAGTATATTTATCATGATAAGCTATGAGTAAAGTGTAGAATTGCTGAATCACTGTATTGTGTATCTGAAACTAATATAAACACTATATGTTAACAATACTAGAATTAACTTTTTAAAAATTAAAAACAAACAAACAAAAAACAAAACCTCAAGTTGTCATAACTATCAGCAACACTGAGGGATCCAAATACACAAGACCAGGGATATCTTTCTTTGACAGAAGGAACACAGACACTCTAACTGCTGAGGTAAAGAAGAGCTGGCAGCAAAAAGCACCACTAGAGTTAGAAGGGCTAGGTGGCAGGCAACAGAGAACTACAAGCTAATCTTAATTTGGCAATTCGTGTACAAAATGGTGAAGTTTTATTCTATTACCACCAACACCACACAATATGATTGGACACCTTTATGTGTGAAGATGTAAATACTTTGCAAGTGTTCATTAAAAAGTCTACACCTGAAACACTAAGAACTCTATAAAATAAGGCAATGCTTTATTTGACAGAGATCTAAACCTAACCTTACATATTCAGCTTGTGTTTCCCTTTTTTAAAGCAAAACATCCCTATTTAGTATTAAAAAGTGAAAAAGATGTAGTTACTATCTGCTAAACCTCGCTTTAAACTCTAAATGTTAATTGCAGCAGTAATCCTATGAAAAAAGTTCTAGCAACAACTTACCATCTTCATAACAAGATTTGTTGACAAGTCCTGGATTTTCTGCAAGAGCTTCATTAATTTCAGTTACTTCTCCTGACAGAGGAGAATAGAGTTCACTAGCAGCTTTCACACTTTCCAAAGCACCAAACTCATCTAAATTGAGAAAATTTAAAAAATATCAAAAGTCAATGACCTGAAAATACAAAATACGGAGAACTGGTCACCCTTAATATAGGCATGATAGAACATTCTAAATATCTTTAAAGATTTTACTTATTTATTTGTGAGAGAGAGGGATAGTGAGAGAGAGCACAAGCAGGTTGCAGAAGCAGAATCCCCACTGAGCAGGGAGCCTGACACAGGGCTTGATCCCAGGACCCTGGGATAATGACCTGAGCCACTCAAGTGCCCCAAAACATTCCAAATATTTTTTAAAAATCACAGACTTCGTCATGCTCATATCACCTGTGATTAGAGTATAAATATCCTCAATAAAGTGGACCTGTTTTAGACAGAGTCAACAACAAATGATGATGTATCTGAATACCAGATGTACTGAAACTCAGTAGAACTCAATTTTCTTTCAATTTACCACAGCCCTGAAAAAGTAAATGAAAATTTTAGGAGATTCTAGTACCGGTGAAGTACCTCATCAGACCACCCTTCTTGCAGATAATAATTATAAACTCTGAATAAAACAAAAAACAAGTATGAAGACTCTGAAGAGTGACCAAAGGAGGAGTCAGTCCTTAAAAGGAGCCCCAAATGGGTGCCATCTTCATTTATATAATTTATACTGACAACATTGCCCCATTCAAAGCATACAGTGTAACCAGAACACAGAGAAAACCAGTCTCGTTTGCTTGAGAGGTCAGAGGATGGAACATGACCCAGCCAAGGTAGCTGGAAACTGAGGGCTGAAATCCTATGAAGAAGGGAGCCATGGTTGAGAAAAAGTAGTCAACAGCTCCCAAAATGACCACAGACCCACATAATGGAGTAAGCAGAGAACCTAAAATAACTTTAAAAAGATCAACACATGGGGGAATACCTGCAAAGAAATAGAAATTTTAAAAGTGGACATCCTAGAACTGGAAAGTGTAATACCTAAAATGAAATTCACTGGAAGGCAGGAACAACAGAAGGGTCAGTGAATGTCAACAAAGAGCACCTGAAATCAACCATATTTCAGCCTTTTGATTGAAATGAAAGACTGAAAAATTAAGAGACCTAGTCACCTGTAGGACAACACTGAGTGATCTGAACTGAATGAATGATACTGAGAATACCATATACCCAAATTTGTGGGTTATAGCTAAAATAGTGCTTGGAAGGAAATTTTTCTTTATGCCTCATTTACAAAGAACATCTTAAAATCAGTGACCTGGGTTCTAAAGACACTAGAAAATGAACAAAAGCAGTCAGTTCATGGGAAGGAGATAATACTTGAAAGCCACAACAGTGACTTAAAAAAAAAAAAAAAAAGGCCTTTGGCCTGAAGACGCACCAATCTGTCATTTGGGGCAGCCAAAATTCTGAGAGAAATCTCAGTCTTAGTTGGCATAAGGAACCAGAAGACAAGCTGAGACCACTGTAACTACTGGAAAGTGAGGTGGGAAATTCGAAGGAGACTAAAAAAGGGACAGCCACCAATCCTGTGCATAAACTCTATCCAGGTCTCTCTGAATGATATCTGAGCCATGCATGTACACCTGGTATCCCACCTAAGGCTAAAAGAATTAAACTTAGATTTTAGTTGCTACCCACCACAAGGGAGACAGCATTTTACAGTATGGGTAAAAAGTACTTAATAAATTTTCTAACTAAAGAAAAATTAGAGCACCTTCAGTCTAAGTTGAAGGAAGAAAACAAAGATATGAGCACAAAATAAATGGACTATAAAAAAATTACCAGTAAAAATTTGCTTCTTTAAGATTAGTATGATTGATAAATAGCTAACAAGACTGATTTTTAAAAAGAGAGAGAAAACACACAAATTACCACATCTTTACTACTGAATCTGACAACATACCATGGAAAAATTCCCCCCAAAATGTAACAAAACCAAAGATAGTATAGAAAATATGAATAGCTGAAAAGAAAAAATATGAATAGCCTTATTTGTATCAAAAACTTTCCCAGAAAGAAATCATCTGACTCAAGATTTAACTGTTAATTCTATGAAACATTTAAAGAAGAAATAATCCCAATCTTGCACATTCTCTCAGAAAGCCTGATGCTCCCCCCTGCTTATGCAAGCATGCTCTCTCTTTCTCTCTCTCACTCTAACAAATAAATAAAAATCTTTAAAAAAAAGTCAATATAATTCCAAAATTTGACAAAACCATTATAAAAGACCAGTATCTCTCATGAATATTAATATAAAAATTATTAATTAGCAAATTAAATCCTGCAGTATATTTTTAAAGATAACTTTTGCATCAAAACTACCAGGAAGGCAAGTCTGATTAAACATTTTAAAATAACCTTATTCATCATATTAACAGAATAAAGGAGAAAACCCTTATGAGCATATTAGTAAGATGGATAAAACAAATGTGACAAAATTCAACAATTTATCATCCATAAATGATTAAAAACAGCAAACTAGATGGAAAGGAACCTCCTCCTCTGATAATGAGCATCCAGTTGAATTATCATGCCTAAATGATGAAATCTTAATGAATTCTCAAGATCAGGAACAAGGCCAAGGCAATGATGTCTACCTCACTGCTTCTATACAACATCATACTGAGCTCAAGGCTGTGCAATAAGGCTAGAAAAAGAAAATGCATAAAGACTGAAAAGAAATAAAGCTCTTTATTTTTTTTTATTTATTTACTTTTAAAAAAAGATTTTATTTATTTATTTGACAGACAGAGATCACAAGTAGGCAGAGAGGCAGGCAGATAGGAGGAAACAGGCTCCCCTCCCCGCTGAGCAGGGAGCCCCATGCGGGGCTTGATCCCAGGACCCTGGGATCATGACCTAAGCGGAAGGCAGAGGCTTTAACCCAGTGAGCCACCTAGGCGCCCCTAAAGCTCTTTATTTACGGATTACAGTACAGTTGACACAGAAGATCCAGGAATCTAGAAAATGTTAAGAATCATTGAATTTAATAAGGCCCAAAATGAAAGCAAAAACTATGACAAGTTTCAAGAAGAAAACACGGAGAGTACCTTTGCAAACTTGGTATATGCCACAGCTGGTCAAACTTTCTCAGTTCATACTGCCCTAAGTATCTTAGTAACATATTTTTCGTTTTAATCTACATCGATTTACTGATAAGTGTGTCTGCTGCATACTATACAACTTCTCCATCAGGGAATCAGACTGAACACCAACCACTGTCTTATGATCCTTGTTTACTTTCATGCAGTATTTGCTTTAAAGACACATTACTCAAGATAACATATATCTAATATTGGAACTAACTCTACTGAGCTATTAGTGTGTGGTGTCCAAAAGAGGTTGAAAATTTTAAACATCCCATAGCTCTAGGGTATATAGGATGGGAACCATGGAGACAAAGATTTCTTAGAAAAGATGCAATGTTCTATACATAAATAAAAACACTAATAACTTGGACTTGTTAAAAATTAAAGCTTATCAAAAAAAGTTATGAAAATGATAAGGCAAAATCAAAAACTATGAAAAAATATACAGAATGCTTAAAAATCAATGGTAAGAAGACAACCCAAATAAATTTGGTAAAGGCTTGACTAGAGATTATAAACAAAAAAAGATGAGTAGCAAAGCACATGGATGGGTGCTCAAGAATAATTTGTCATTTCACAGTGGGATATGCAGTGCCTAGAACTCTCGTATTGCTGGTGAAATGTAAAATAGTACAGCCAGTTTGGGAAACTGGCAGTTTCTTATGAAGTTAAACATACAACTACTACACTACAAGCCAGAAATTCCACACACATACATATATACATAAACACCCACCCAAGAGAAATGAAGACATCTACAAAAAACACTTCTACAAAAAAGTTTATAGCAGCTTTATTTCTAATAGCTAAAAACTAAAAATAACACAGAAATCCGTCAATAGGAGAAAAGATTAAAAGGTTACATAATGGTACAATATTCAGCAATAAAAAAATAAACTACTGATCACTCAACATAAACCTCAATGTCATAATATTGGACCAAAAAAGCCAGACATAATATAAAAACTGTGTGGTGCCTTTAATGAAGAAAAATAATACACAAAACTAACCTATGGTGACAGAAATCAGAGAACAGGTTGTCTCGAGAAGGGTTTTAATTGACAAGGTTTACAGTGTTTGTCTAATTGCATTGGATTATACACTTCATGGATTCACTGTATGTAAATTTTACATCAATTTTATAAAAGCCTTTGTCAGAAAAGTCTAAAGTACTTCTTAGGGATATTTACATTAATATAAGTTTTTTAACCACAGAAAGCAGGTTCATGCTGCTCACTTGCTGTAAAGAGATGTTCAAAACAGGATCTCTTGCTTGAGAGAAGCAGAGTGGGTACAAAACATTATGAGAAAGGAACAACTGTTCTCTGATGCCCAGAACACAGAAAAATGAACAGATAAAGATTATTAATCACAAAAAGGGTCTTATTATGACATTGGAAAAGGTTCCTAAGAAGACCTTCAAAAAGGAAGATATGACCTAATATTATATGAGAACCAGAAATCAGAAAAAGTTCAAACGAGATAAATGACTGGGGAAAGTTTAAGCAGAAAAAACATGGCCAATATTGTCCAAGATATTTAGAAAAAGATTCTTTACTGGCTCCAAAGAAAAACAGATTTTACCTTCTCATCCTACTTTTGGATACGGCCATACAACAAAGTCATTCTTGAGGATTTTGCTGCCATTTTGTGACCTCTGACACAATGACACAGAAAAAGCATGAAAAAAAGGTCCTGTCCTTGATGACCCTCCACTGTGCCTCTGAGCTAATCCCCCGTTTCCACCTATCTCCAGACTTCTTGAAGGAGATAAACCCCAACTGTAATCTTTTAGGTGAGTTTTCTGTTACTTGGATAAAAAGCACTCTAACTGGTCCTAGGTGCAAACAAGTTATTATTCAAGATAAAGGAAATGTATGGCATGTATAATATACCAAGATGAGAAAATACTCACCTTGTTTGTTCAGTTTTGTCCCGACCTCAGGCAGACTACAGTAAACAACATCTCCCAAAGCTTCCTAAAACAAACAAAACACAAATCTTTAAGAAATCAAATTAAACCTTCCAGTGAATAGAAACACTGACCTTCTATAATTCAAACAGTACGTATTTTATACCCCAGGAGCCACATTCTTTAGTTTTTCTTATAACCCTTCAAAAAATGCAGAACAGCTAGCCTGGTCCACAAGCAGCAGTGTCACAAACCATATTCCCCTCACCCCATATACTAGCTCCTCTGAAAACAAACACACCTTGTGCTTTTCCACCTCCACAGTTTTGCTTAGGCCTTTTCGCCTGCAGTATTTGCTGAAATCCTTCCCACTGATCTGTACATCATAGTCCTTGCACTCCCTGAAGACTTTGACTCCAAGTTAAGAAGTGAGCTCTCCATCAGGTGAGTTACAACCCCTGTACTTCTCAGGTCATCCATCATGTAATGTTTTGTGTGTTTTATGTTTTATCTATGAGGGGAAGACAACACTTGTAGCATTGTCCACAGTACTGTGTACTGGGCCTCAGTAGGTACACAGATAGATCAGTGAAGATACAATTGTCAATGATGCTCAATACCTGAGATTCCAACACTTCTGAAGAATACTATATACTCCTTTCAGTTACAGGTTCCCCTTCCTGCCCCAATGGAAAATCATGGACTCATACTTGCTATCTGGCTTCTCATTTCCTTCTGTATAATTTCTCAATATGGGATCAGTGGGAATAGTGAAATTAAGAGAAAAATACTGGCTACATAAATGGTTTGCCTTTGTCTAATCTGTGCCAGTCTAGGTTTTCCCTCTTCATCCCCAGGGTCGTGCACATATCACAGTGTCCACAAACGCCATCAACACTCCACGCCCTTTGCCTGCTCTTCTTTCTCCCTTAACTGCCCCAACATGAAACACATTTCTTTCCTGAATAAGGTATATTTACTTCTAAGTGTTAACCTTTTAATAATCTCTTAAAACACTGTATATTGCCCTAATTTATCTTTTGCTTGTTTACTTGATTGATGTTCTTTAAAGGGCCCAAAATAACAAGGGGCAGAATAAACAATTTTTTTAAAAAGGTAGAGCAATCCAACTGAGACAAGAGGAGACCGTTTTAAGTATTTCAAGACAATCCAATACCTGTGCAAAATTGCTGATTCCCACTGTTCCAATACCATTTTCTGTTGTTATCCATTCATGCTTGTCTGTGAATTTACGCACTAAAACAGAAGACCAGTATTTCAGAAAATCAGTGGTATCACTTCTTCAAAAGCACTTTTCATATCAATACTGTCAAAAGGCAAGACCTTCTCAGTATTTGTGTTTGATTTACTGACACTGCCTTTCAGTAACACACTGCCCAGGAAAAACCAGATCACATGAAAAGACGGAGCATCTTCTTACAAGTACCATCATTTAGGCGAAGATGGCTTGATGTGAATGAACGCCTTGTGTATCTTTTGGAGATTTGGTTATTCCAACATTAGTCTAAATCACTCATACAAACTATTTTGGAGCGTACTTCAAATGTATACTCATCTATTACTCGTCTGTCTTACAGAAGGTAGTCTATCCCTCTGTAGACTTGGGGTGAGGAGGCATAAATGCTCATAATGCTTGTAAGTGTTCATAAATGAGATAGATTACTTAACCTGAAGAAAAAAAAAATGTGCCTTTTTAGGTAGAGTTAACCTAAGAGGGTTTCATTGCAACTTGGTTATAAAGTGGAATCTTATATGAATGAAACTGACCAACAACTATAATTTGATTAAGTTACTAAAATTCCATTTTCATTGAATTTAAGCCTGCCCTTGAAGAAAGTGGCTACTATCATTTATTTAAAGAAGCAAACTATAAGATCAGAACTCAACAGTCACCTCACAGCTAAGGCATTAACTGCTGGAAAGTTAAGCTCTGCTCAACCTTCAATGGACAGGTTAGCCCTTGGCTTTATGAGCGTCTTCTCTTCAAAGACATGGCCGAACTATTCAAGGATTCCTGGAAAAAAACTGATCAAAGTTCAAGACATGTGAAAAAAGCTATTTAGAATTTAATGTTAGTAGTACCTGCTTTAAAGAATAATTTTTTAAAAAGCATATACTATCTTCTTAAACATATGTATTACTTTCTGAGGCCAAATATTTTTCCAAAAACAGTGCCTCAGAAGTTAACAGGACAATGGTTCATCAATTCAAATGCTGTTTTAGAATAAGCCTTTCTGGTTCACTCATACACCTTACCTAAAAGACAGCTGTACTTAAAACAGCATTAAAATGCTTTGATTACACAGCTCTGATCCACAGCAGAATGTAACTTACTGCTTTCTTTTCCCCCTAATCATTAAAAAACTTTAATTTCATATTCTTCACTGGAAGAAGTTGTAAAATCTCTCACAAAGGGAACTTGCTTTGCTTCATTCCACTTCAAATAGCTAAATGCTTCAGGTCAATCTGATCTTTCCATAAAGTTTAACTTTGTGTTCTAACTACAACTCTCTTCCCACACTGCCTTTTCTTGACTACTTCAAGTTTAGAAGCTCTTTCTTGCCAGATGCCTTCTGGAGCCCTCCAAGATTCCCAGGCCATCTAGCTGGCTCCCACAGCACTCTGTACCACTCTCCCCAGATCCTGACCCTACAACACCCAGCACTTAAGGAGCTACTCATATAGTCCTTTTGTCCATTCTCCCCAACAAGGAGATGAAGTACAAGGCAAGCAAAAGCATGGGTTATCTCATTTTTATTTGTATTCCCAGTTCGAACATAGTGCTTACCAAACAGTAAGCACTCAGAGGTTTAAAGAGTGAAGTAATTCTTTGGTTTTAATTAAGTAGATTCTGAGCAAAATATCTGTATAGGTACTTGGCTACAGTCAGTTCTCCCTACCACTCTGTTACAACTCTAGAGCTGGCCGATTACAATACAAATTACGAAAACTTTAAATAAAGTTTTTTAAAATTTTTTTTAGTTTAGGGGCAGACAACAATAAATATGACTTCTCTGAGACTACTGTCTCAAAGTTGGCCTTGGCATCTTGCCTAATTGTAAAGATAATCCTAGGAGTAAAGGTGCTCACACACACTCAGTTTAACGATTCAGCAACCACAAATTTAGAGGAAAGACAGCAACATCATAAGGTAAATCCATTTTAAGTCCAACTAATTTCAAAGTCCGGGAGACTATTTACAAAGTCAAGCTGTTTAGGCTAAAGACAATGATTAATTTAATTCTCCTTTAACCCTCAAGCCCAATAGGAAAAAAGTGGACAGATTAGGTAAATAATCACTTTCTTACTGAGTCTTTAAGAACATCATTTTTGGCTTCAAAATGAAGCGTTTTCAGTAATTTATGAAAAGTATGCATTTTCCTCTTTTCAGAGTCATTAGTCAAGGGGCACCTGGCTGGCTCAGTTGGTGGAGCATGTGACTCTTGATCTCAGGGTTGTGAGTTCAAGCCACACTTGAATGTGGTAAGCAAGCATGGAGCTTACTTAAATAAATAAATAAATAAATAAACAAAAACAAACAAAACCCCCCAAAAAACCACAACTATTCCAAAGTCACTAGTCAGATAACAAATATTGTCCAATTTTTACCTACTTGATTCTATAATATTTAGTAACAAGTAACATTTACCAAGTACTTACTATGTGTCAGGCTATATGTACAGCGGTTACATTATTTCATTTCATCCTCCCAACAACTCTCTGTGATAGAGGTTATTATCATTTCCATTTTTCTGATGAGGGAAACAGACTCAGAAGTTAAGTGACTCTGCCCAAGATCACATAGCTAATTAGAGGTAGGATCAAAATGAGAACTTGGGTCTCTCTCTGTTCTTAAAAACCTTGGTGTTCAATCAGATCATGGGTATTGATGTTTTGGACAATACTTAACTAGCTCACTGGAAACTGCAAAATGCCAGCAGTAGCGTCACACTGAATAACAAAACAAAACAAAACAAACCCAAAAAACAAAACAAAACAAAAACTTGAAATTCATTTCTTCTCTGAGACATGCTTTCCCCTTTGTATTCAAATAGGTAATTACTGATACGTGTCACCAGCAGAATAAAGGAATACATTAGCAACAGGAGAAAAGCATCTTTATGTTTCAGGCTGTAACAAATCAATGTTATCAAGTCTTCCATTTCCAAACAGGTTTCTAAAAACAGTGAACTTAATGAGACAACAGTCATCACAGGCCTATGCACCACTAAGAAAGAAGCCCGAGTTCTTGGAGGTGCAGTTAGCATCCCAAGCATTTGTGCCCACAGTAAGAAAACTTTTCCTGCTGCGATAATTGTGCTAAAGTATAAAGTAGCACAGATGACCAAGACATTTGTGGGCAGGGCCCCCAGTTACTTCAACTGCATGTCTATGTGAGGCATCATTTCTGTCCCAACACATCCATAACTCAGTATAGACTTTAGCATAATGTAAGGGTCCAAAAGACTTTATCTCACTGTTTTTAGTAAACAGCCGAGTATTCAAAGTTATGCTCACTTTTGCTAGTAAAAATCTAGCTCCAGTGCTTTAATTTTATTAAGTGCTCTTGCTTTTGTTTTACTTCACAGAGTTCTCAGTGACAGCCCATATAGCAAACTAAAGCCTACCATGTCTCCAATTTTAGGGCCCACGATACACACACGCACGCGAGATAACCTAAGGTTGCGAAGGAGCTTAGCGACGCTTGCACGGATCTCCAGCAGCGAGCGGCCGGAGCTCCCGCGGGAACAAGCCCGCACTTGGCGGCCGCGCGGGTGCTCCAGGTTTCCTCCTCCTGGCTCTCCAACCCGCAGGACAAAGGCTGCAGCGACGGTCACGCGACTAGGGATCCCAGAGAAGCGAGGGCAGGGGACACCTCGCTAGACCCAGGTGGTCAGCACTGGGGAATCGAGGTAAGCAGCGACCTGGGGAGGGAGGCGCCCAGCTCCGTCGCCCCAAGCAGCCCGGCTCTCCCCACGTGCTAGCCTGCGCTTACCGGAGAGCAGAGCCGAGCCTGTGCGCAGTGTCCGGACGGTACCCGCCCTCAGTCCCCAGGGCCGCAGCAGGCAGGGTGCAGTGGGCGCGGACGTGACGCGCAAGCTGCAGGCCGTAGCCAGCACGCTCCGCACGGCTCGCAGCGCCATGTTCACAGACGCGCGGGGGTCGTAGTGCAAGCCGTGCGGGAACCCCAGCCGGCAGGGGCGGGGCGGGGGGCGGCCCCGGACCGGAGCGAGCCGGAGCGAGCTGGCTGGTAGGGGGGTGGTGCTTGGTAGGGGCAGGGGTGGGGATTCCAGGCCAGGCACGGCCCTGGATAGGGGGACAAGCGCGAGAGGGGCGTGGATATGCGGAAGAATTGCAGCCCGGAAGGGGCGGGGTGAGGGGGGGTGAGGGGCGGGGCCTAAGCTCAGTAGCTGGTTGGTGGGGGCGGGGTAGGGCGGGGCTGGACCTCGTCGCAGGGAGTAGCTTTCTGGCAAGTGAAAGTGCAAGGTCAACAGTTCCAGCTTTGCCTAAGTGAGAGACACTAGGGGACATTAAGAAGGGTTCCCGATAGAGATGGCTTCTCTGGGCGCGCATTCATGTACCATCGCGTCCCTGAGGTTCCCAGGAAGGTAGAATGTCCCCAGTCCTGTTAAAGGATACCCTCCCTTCCTTCTACAGAGAATCAGTGTCACCCAGAGCAGGTGGCCAGGTCTAAACTGACTCATTCCAAAAGAAACCAGTGGGGCATTGGCCAAAGGAGCTCTGACATATAGTGTCTTTTTGACACTTAAAAATACTGGAAACAATCCAGGAACCCAACTTTATTATTTTACAGATCCCAAGAGGCCTAGGTACCCCAAATGGGACGGACAGAATCATGAAGCTCATAGAGGTGCAAGGACTTGTCTTAGGGTCGGAAATGTCTCATTGGTGGATGCGTGGAAGCCAGTCAGCTAATGCAGGAGCAATCAAAAGTTGAAACCCACCATGGTCAGTTCCTTGCTTAAGTAGCCAGCCCCATGACCAAGGCCTTTCCAGAAAAGCAGAAGACATGTTCCCATTCAAGAGACGAAATAATCAAGTTCTGGGGAAAATAATTAAGTTCTGGGAGAGACCTTACCTTCAACACAAATTTTATGGAGTGGGCAGGAATCAGCAAAGAAACACCAGAGTGAAAAACACCTCAAGCTGCACATCTTTATTATTACAGGGTGGGCACCTTAAAGTGATGTGTGTGTCTGGTGGGGGAGGGGGGGTTGTTTAGAAGACCTGTGCTGTTGCCCTGAGCTTCTACCCCACTCATAAAATAGGCCCTAAAATATTTATTCCTTGTTTGACTAATGCATCTGGTGGAAAAAACAAGGTCACATACCAGTCTGTGGACAATATCACATGCCCTTCCACTAAAACAGTAGGAAATGTGTCAATTTTTTTAGTAAGCATTAGGATAACCAAAAAAAAATTGTTTTTCATAACCGATAACCTTTGTAACATTCATGGCTTGAGATTTGAAAGGTCATCTCATAACATGTTTGGTACAGACACCTGAAAATTGCATACACCTCAAAAGGAACCCACTCATGTCTTAAAGCTTTTTTTTTTTTCCTCTCATAACAATACAACCAAAGGAGTTGCCAGTTTGATATTTACAGTCAATTAAGGACTGGAGAGTAGATGGGAAAGATGAGAGAGATGAAGAACTTAGAAATTCTCCAGATCTTAGAACTTTTCCTATTTAAAACAGACTGTATGGGGGCACCTGGGAGCCTCAGTTGATTAAGCATCTGCCTTCAGCTCAGGTCATGATACTGGGGTCCTGGGATGGAGCCCAAAGTTGGGCTCCCTGCTCAGCAAGGAGTCTGCTTCTCACTCTATCTCTCCCCTGGCTCATGCTCTCTCTCTTCCACATCCCTCTCCCCTCTTCCTCATAAATAAAATCTTAAAAAAAAAAAATACAAAAACAGACTGTACCTATCTGGGTAGGTCTCTGTATGAGTCTATTGAGAATGTGTGTACACCTCGCTATGGGTTATTTGATGAACATCTCTGCACATAAAGCTAATGTTCATACCTGACACAATAAAGAATGGATGATGGGCTTTTGGTAGGATAGAAGATGATGAAATCCCCAATGTCCATGTTGTATGGCTCTTTATAAAGGATCCAGGGTTTTTTGTGTTTTGTTTTGTTTTTATTGTCAGGGTGGGATCCTGATTCACATGTCATAAAAAGACATTTAAGTTCTCATCCAGAAAGAAGGCAGTAGTTCAACTCCAGGATTGATTAAGTCAGTCATCAAGCATGTTCCTCTCATCTTTCTGCTTTGCTATGTTCAGATTGCTCCCCATGGTTTCAAGGTAGCCTCCAAAGTTCCAGGAGTCTTGATCAGACCAGACAATATCTAGCAGCATAAGACCCCACGTCTCTGTGTCTCTCTTTATTAGCAAGTAGACCTTTCCAGGCAGTATCCTGGAGACTTCAGTTTTCATTGGCTAGACCTGGTCATGTGACTACCCTAACTCCCTCACATCAAGGGAATGGATTATTAAGACAAATCAGGATTTACCTTAGGTCACTACAGGGTCACCTTCCCATGAGTCATGTGGGAAAAGGGTAGAGGTCTACCAGAATAAAGTTGGGTTCCGACAGCGAGGAGGAAAGCATGAGATGGATTTGGGGCAGGCAGCCTGGAGGATCTGTTATCACAGGTATGTGAAGAGAAGGGCCCAGACCTGTGAGCTGGAGAGGATATGTGAGGTGAGTCCCGTGCATGGGGGAGGGATAATGTGCCCTTAGTCGCACAGACCAACCCTTTTATTATCTAGATCTGTGGTTCTCAGAATTTAGAGCCTGGTTATCAAGTCTGACTGCACATTGGAATCACCTGGCGAGTTTTTAAAACTATTGTTGCCTGAGTCCTAGCCCAGAGGTTCTCATGTATTGGAATGAAGTCTGCAGATTCTAGCGTGTGGCCAAGGTTGTGAACCACTGGTGTAGATCAACAATTCCCATAGTCTCCTCTAAGGAACACTAGCTTTGACTGAGGTGCTGCAGTACTGGATGCCTGGGTCAGAGAGGTTTGGGAGTCGCAATACACTTTCTCTCTTGTGCTCATCTCATCCCAGCAGTGCCCTTTTAGCATATTAAAAAGTCTGACAATTCCCATCCCAGAGAACTTGTATAACCTTTTATACAAGTGTGTTTCTCACATTTCTTTGATTCAGAAACGTTTCTGAGGGAATGACACCTGTTATGTTGAATTGTGTTCCCTACAGAGATACATTGGAGTCCTAACGCCCAATACTCAAAATGAGATCAGAATTGGAAATGGGGTTGTTGAGGATATAATTAGTTAAGACGAAGTCATAATGGAGTAGGATGGGCCCTCAATCCAGTATGACTAGAGAACTTATAAGAGGAAAAGAAACACAGGGACAGACACAAGGAAGAAGGCCATGTGATTACACAGAGATTAGAATGATTCATCCTCAGGCCAAGGAGCACCAAAGAACACCAGAAGCTGGAAGAGAACATGTCCCCTTTGACACCTTGATTTTGGGCTTCTATCCTACAGAACAGAGACCATAAATATCTGTTCTTTTAAGCCACCTAGTTTGTGCTACTTTGTTCTGGCAACTGTAGCCAATTTATATGACAGCTATTAACATCTCTTCCCAAACACGGTTTGGGAAACCCTGAACTAGAATCATTGAGAAGCAATCCCTGACCAACCAAGAAGATGAAATAGTCCACAGACATTATTTTTCCCAAACTCCAGACAATATTCGTTTTATTTCTAGAAGGAAATACATTTGAACAAATAGTCTATCACAGTAGTGGCAATTGCACATATCTATATATTTTTCGGATGCGATGCTTTTTCTATGCACACAGGAAAACATCGAGAGAGAATGTAGAATCGCCAGTAAACATAGGTCTGAGGCTTTGGCCTTCCCCTTCTATAGTTGGATGAAGAGCTTAACCCTCGGGTGCAGCTGGTGCAGGTGGAGGGGGCCAGGCCTCTGACCGCTACTTGGGCTGCTCACTGCTGTTTCCAGGCTCCTCTCTTTTACATTTAATACCCAGGAAACCGAGTATCTTCATCAGCAAAAAATCAGCAATCTCTCCTTCTTCCAACAGCTGAAGAGGGAAAAAGAACCATGTGACGTACATAGAACCATCCTCTTTGGAGGCTTCTCTTTCTTTCTAAGGAGAAACCATGGTATTATTGTCCAGTTCGGTCACTGCCAAAAGTCACTTCGGTATTTAGTCAACTTTGTGTTGGGAGTCCCCTTCTTCTGCGAATCCCAAGGGTGCGTGTTCCCACCTGTATCCCGAGGAGGTTCTTTCTTCCCTTACGACGAAAATGATAAAATTCCCTCTATCACCCCCAACAGAGGCTCTTAGGAATGTATGTGCAAAGACCCTTATGCATTGCTGCTCGGAACATGAAACAGTGCAGCCACTTTGGGAAATAGTCTGCTGGTTTCTCAAAATTTAAACCAGTTACCATATGACTGGTTGAAATACATTTCTAGGCCCAAGATGGAGCTGCTTCTGCCTGGCATGCCATGACAGCAAACCGAAGCTTACAGAACTTTTGGTGTCCTGTAAATGCTCCCCTGCCCAGAATATCAGGTCAGCCAGTCCCCAAACACAAAGCCACCTCTGGGCTCTATACTTCTTTTCTGTCTCACCCCAAACAAGGTTGACTGTGTGGCCCCAGCCAATCAGATATATATATTTTTTAGTTTTTCTCTTCCTTGTTCTTTATTATTTCTCCTGTAAAAGCTTCCTGCATTCCTCCTGATTTGTACTTCTCTGAATGGAGACTGTCTACTTCATGAAGTGTTAAAGTTTGTATCGCCTAAGTTTTCTGCTTTAATCATCTTTTAACAGATTCTCAGCCTCGGCTGTATTT